TAGAGACGCGACCAAACCACATATACTACGCTTTTTGCAACTACAAATCACGTATTAAGCTTCTTACAGCTACAAATCTTTCTTTACAGGGATGACTCACAACGTTTGAATCACAAATTCATGCCTCGATGCAGTCTCGCGAGTGATAAATCATTCACCACTCTTTTAACTACAATTCGTCATCTTTATTAATTTTTATCGAACAGTACGTTGAACACAGATTTATCAGCATCGATTTCGTGCAAATTAACTTGTAAAGCTGTTGCCAGAAATATTTTTGATATTTTCTACGACTTTTCTCGAATGTTTGATTTCTCTAATATCGCAAACTACATTTTGTGAAATTGCTAACCTGCTAACAAACAGATTCAGAAATTATGGGTCAAATTAATCCATTTATTAAAAACTACATTGTTCAATCTGGTTATCTGAGTTGCAAGAGAATTTTAAGAATCATGAATTGTGAATTTTCTTTGTCTAGCTTTCTCGTTGAGAATTACCTGTTTTCTGAATACTGAGTTCTTCGTAGAATTAACGTACGCTAATGTGTTGATTAGGATTAACTAGACTGCCAATATTTGGAATTTAATGACTTGTTTGTACAGGACGTTAACTTTGAAAATTATCTATCTTTCAACGATTTCACGCATCAATGAATTTAGTAGGTGATTGTAATTGAGAAGTTTCTCAAACTGAGTGATGGCTAAATAATATTTATCTCATCTTTCTGTGAATTAAATTTTATTATTTTCGATGGTTCCTTGTGCAAAATATTCTTCTACGCTTTTTCAAAAGAACATGGTTGACACGTTCACAATACGATTGATTTATTTTAATAGCGCAGATATTACTAAAGAATTAATAATTTTGGTTCATGATGTAATTTTGGTCTCCAATAATAACACGAGGCTTATTTAATATATTTGTGCTTTGAATATTATTTATCGTAAATCATTTGCCAATCACCGAATCTATTTTGTATTCAAGGCACGATTCTTACGTTTCATCACACGTAGATAACATTGTTTGAATAATCATGGATCAGAAATGATATTAAAAAGAAAATGAAATGAAATCTGGCACGCGTGTTCTGAAAACGATTCGCGAATTGTTTATTAATCAACGAATACATATGCTTCATTTAAATAACATTATTAAAATTATATTATTGACAAATCATAAATGATACTCCAATGTTACAGACAGCACAAAAATGAAAAGCTTATTTAACGTATATTCTAAATACATAATCGTAGGTTTTATTTGCCAATCAACGAATACTATTTCACTATTCGGGACACGATCCCTACGATTCATCAAACACGGATAATATTATTCGAATAATTCTAAATGATAATGGAGATCAAAATTCGAACGATATTTCAAGACATCCAATTAGAGAGAAGTTATATAATAAATATAATAAATTTTCATTCACGAACAAGATTCTACCATCAACTAAATTCTGTTCAAACTATTTTATTTTCAACTTGCGAATAAAATTTTTATCGGAAGTACCAGGCGCGTGGCTCGTTAGGATGAAAACGTCGGTAGTTAATCAACCAAAAGTGAAACTTGCAAACGGCGAATTCAGAAAGGCCAAAATGCCTGAGTGAACGTGCTGACCTGTCGCGAACCAAGCTGCCGCAGGTTTCACCAATCGGTGCCGCTGGATGTGGAAAGAACATTTCTCTTTTTCTCTACCGTTAACGCGACTAGTCACGATTAGCGATTGCTAGGGACGTTCATTAATAATTCAGCGCCGATACGTTGCATCTGAAAACGGCCACGACCGCTCATTGCGAGCGAACGTTTCGTCAAAAAGTCAAAATTTTCATCGATAAGAAACAGCAAGCTTACACGATAGGTTCCAATTGTTTCATAGCGATAACATTTGAAGTTAATTTGCCCGAAAACAAGAAAATCTTCTATTCTAAATCTTCGAGCGAAATGTCTTTTTTTTCTACTTACAGTGGCGCAGAAAGTATTTACACATGCTCGTATTTTCCAACGAAGCATTTTTAAAATTTCAGTAAAGTTTTGTAGTCGTGCGAATGCATTATGTTTGAACGATATACGATAGCGTGGAATATCATTTCGCAAGTCTTCGAAAAGTTTAGACAAAACTGCCAAATTTATATAATGCAAACTGATGCTCAGTGGGCATGAAAATTTTACAGTTGTGAATATTGAAGGAACGAGGAAGAAAAAGCGAAAACGATCAAATCGATTACGACCACAGGGAATTCTGTGTTGTATTAACGCAATCGAAAGGCAGCAATTTTCCTATTTACGTAGCTGGTTACATCGCCCACGAACGAGGAGATTTCCTAGCTAGGCATTACGCACAAGCCGAATTTGCATTGCCTCACAATGTAACAAAGCGTTCGTGTGAAAACGTACCTTGCAAACGTTGTAGCGAAGAAAGAAAAAAAGAAAGAAAGAAAGAAAGAAAGGAAAAAAAGAAGAAAATAAGCGGGAAAGAAACGAAACGTTGGCAATTCAATTCTTTCGAAGGAGGATACCGTGTCAGTTTCCTTCTATTCGTTTCGTAGACTTCGTAAATCAAGATCGAGAGTTCACTCAGCCGATCGGCGTTTTCACCATCGCTGCCCGGTGATTAATATCGCGGCTAGTCCGCACGTTTTAACATCGAATTTTAAAACCGTATTTTAATACCGATCGTCGTAACGAGTGTTCACTTCGAGCGAGCTTCCTCGAGGCGTTTCAAAAGACTGTCGAAAAAATTAAATTTACGATTCGAGCGTGGTAAATGTCGATGGGGAGAAAAACAGTTTGAAAGACGACAAGTCGAAGGTGAAACGCATACGGTGTACAAGACTGCTAATGTTTTTTCTATTTAATATATAAATCCTTTTTTTTTTAATTGTCAATAATAATTATATGCTCGAGTTGTACTTTGTTATTCAGAAAAGAAACGAAGGAATTGAATTGAAAATTATGAAGGATTTGTATTCACTTGACACGTAGCATCCATTGTAAAATTTGTAAACGTAGTTCATAGATAATTTTGCCAAGTTTATTATTTTGTTATAATAATTGCCCAGTTTATTATTTTGCTGTAATAAAAGATCGTGTATCTCTTATTGAATAGATCAGCTTATAATTAATATTGAATAATAATGATCGGTATACATATGCAACATCCCTACGAATCTCTATTTCTACCTGTCTCCTCGCACTTTTTATCGCCCACGTTACTCGAACCGCAACTGCCGGTTACGCGTTCCGTTCGGTCTCGATCTCGTTTCGAATTTGTTCGATTATCAAGGAGCAGCAATCGACACACGAGGTCGTCGCTCGACGAAAGTGAGAGGGCTTCGCGGCTAACCCGGAAGAATAAAACGAGTTCTCGATGCTTGTTACAACGAAGGTCCACGGGAACGCGTAGGCAGGGAACTGTCACTGTTCCGCCGATTTACGAGATACATCCAGATATCAGTGAACAGATATCCTCCCTCGTTCACTTTTCTTCATTAACCTTCGGCGCGGGAGCAATTCACCCGAGATACTTTGCGAAACTGTCGGCTAGAGGATAAGAGAACAACGAAATGATCTGGTGTTTTTTTATAACGTCGTTCGGATGGTAATTCTTGAAGTATCGATCAGATAAGGAGAACAAAAAAAAAGTCGAACCGCGTGTTGTTTGAACAGCTTGTATTTTATACGAGTCTAAGTTTCCTAATTGACTGTAATAGGATGCGATTAAATATTTTAGAGATCGTTTCGTTCTGGACGTACAATTCCATGGAAATTTCTGATCACTGAAAGGAGAATGTGTTTAACCTTCTGTAACAAGCTTCAAGGATAGATACTTATCCATCTGTGTTTCATAAATTCGTGACTTTCTGTCAAACCACTGTGTTACTACACTTTAGTCTTGTACACCGTTGCCTTGTTTTTCACTGTAATACGATCATCGTTAATTTATCTTTTTTACCTCCAAACAATAAACTGAAAACTTCTCTCGATATAGCATTCAGTTGCAAAGATTCAGTAAAAATAAAGATTATCAAACCTCACGAACGACAGACCCTTTTACTATTCGCAGCAAATTTCATTATCACTCGAGGATTTTATTATCTAATAAATAGATCCACAAATAATTATTCTACTTTAGAGTGTCGCACTGCATTTAAATATGAAAGTTTCCTGCGCGTACTTTCAAAACGATCCGTATATGTATCACAATATCTGACACTTGCTATGAACAGGCACTAATCGAACTATCATCCATTGATGCAAGAAGAAGAAGGGAAAAAAGAAAAAAAAAAAGAGAAAAAGGAAGAATGACACAACCCCTGTCGCGATCTCGATGTCTGTTTTAATCCTTTTCGAATCGATCTCTTTTCAGACCGGTTCCACGGTGGTCTTGCATGAATCCACGCATGATGTAATATCGTTCGAATGAAAAATAAAACGAGTTTGAAAACGGAGCGGACTCGATCGGAGAAAAGGGACGGAGGGAAAGATTCGGCAAAAACTGAGCAATCTTTTTCAGGAACTGCCTCGGCGACACCGCCAGCCTAATGGCCACGATATTTTTAGCACTGATAAATGCGAATAAATTTACAAGGAACTTGTTAAATCATTTTAACAAGGTAAAGTAAAAAACAACTTCGTTACTTTTTATATTTACGAAATTCACGTGTGACCTCTGGATTTTAACAAACGTGGATAAATCTGGAATTCTTTGAGAAACTTGCTCGTTAAATTTGTCTGAGATGGTAAACTAAATTTTATTTCAAATTTGTTCAATTAACAGTTCGTCATAATTACGTAAGTCGTTCCAATTTTTCTGTTTGTAAAACACAAAAGCGACTAAATTCTTACAAAAAAAAAAAAAAAAAGTAAAATGTCACTTGCACGCTAAACCACACCAAGTCAAATTCTGCTCTTTCTCTTCCGCGAATCTTTCCCTTTTGCTCCCAAAGGGACACGATTACGAGCAGTCTCGCAGCTTGCATCTTTTCACTTACCATGATTCGTCCAGTTTTTCCAGCCACGCGCGACACTCCGAACGTGGAAAGTAGCACCAGTATATCGACGGGACACGAAGAAGGGGATGAGCAAGAACAAGACGAGGCGCGCTCGAAGCAAACTTACACGAGAGGCGCGTGTGTCAAATGCAGCGAGGCACACAGTCCGTGAACGGAAGTGAACGACGAGCGAAGAAGAACAGTAAAAAAAAAGAGGAAGCGTAATTAGTGATGGAGGATCCACCGCCACATGATCGAGGAACTGTCACTGACAACAGTTCAGAAAGCACTGACCGTAGTGAACGAGTGCCTCCTGTCATTCTCTCCTTCCTCCCTCTCTTCCCGTCTGTTTCTAGTCAGCTCGTTTCAACTCTTTCTCTCTGTCTATCCCTCTTCCTCTTTCTCCTTCCGAGCGGAGGAAGGAAGAACCCCCTTCCTCGAGCGAATATTCACAATCAGGCTGTTTCGATAGAGGCGCTCGCTGCCCCCCACAACCCTTCCTTTCCACCGTTTTCGTACACGTTTTCAGAGAGAACACGATGAATGCAGAGAGAAGCCGCCACGCGAAAATTTTCGTAACGGAGGCAGACGGCACCGTAGACGATGTCAACACTGTCCTCGGTAACCGCGGCGACAATTAAAGTCACCTTTCATTTTGTGTACAGTAAGTGGACTGCGTGTATATACATATGTAGATACGCACGGTGTACTAAAGGGCTTAGATTGAATATTAACGAACGACATTAATTTATGATCAATTGCGATTCAACAGAGATTTCTCGGTAATTTTTATTTTTATATTTGGGAGATACTTGGTACAATAATTTCAATTGCAAGGGACTAGTAATAACGTTGAAGATTTCATAGAAGCAAAGCTTGTCGAATCTCTTTACCATTTCGCAACCTGGTGAAATAAAAAATTGTACTGTAAAAGAACTTGCGTCAGATATCACAAGAAAATATCTCGTTATTTTTGAAATCATTTTGAAACTGATTAAGAAATTCTAGCGATTTTTACTTTTGCAGAGAGTTGAAACGGGTGCTGTTGAGTGTCACGTGGATCACCATTTATCACAGTAATCGTTCGAATGATATCAGACATAGATCAGTGTCGATTGACAGCTAGTTGCCCGTTTATACTGGCAACGCATTGACGCTGACAACGGGGGCCAATCGGTTGCTCGGTAAATGGGAACGCGAGAGTGAAACGGCGATCCAGCGATCCACATCGGCTGCCTAGAACAGCGTTTCCCAACCTATGCCATGTGAACCTTTCCTTGCACTGTTCAGTTCAATCGAACATAAGTCGCGATTTAAAATCCTTTTCTTTTTTCGATTTCCACTTTTCGGCATAGAAACGAATGGCTATCATTCATACAATGTAATTTAACTTCGAACTTCGTGTAAGCAGTTTCAAGAATCTTTTCCTCTCCGTTTATTTTATAAAGAACAAGCAAGAGAATGAGAATTTACATGATAGAATTGCACAATTTTTCGTGACACGGAATATTTGTTGAATATATGGAAACCTTTGTTTCTTTACATATTATGACTTAGAAGAAAGTAGAACAAAGTTCCAACTTTAAATGATTGAAGCAATGGAATTGCATCTTTTTCGAGTAGCGATATTTGTAAATACTATTCTATCATGTAATACATGGAATATTTACAAATTTGAAGTTCCAGTGACTTACGTGACATCTGCGAGCCTCTAATATTTGTATATCCGATGTAAGATCGCGTCTTCAATTTATACAATGATCGTGCTCGATTATCTAGAAGACAAAATACAATATATTCATCTTAATATACTTAAAGATATACAGAATGTTTAATTTTTTTTTTTTTCTTCAATAAAAACATTTTTTCAATCAATATTCACCTCGATGCTTTTAATTTCTTCATTTAGGACGAGATATGTTGTAATTAAGTCTCCGAAGGCTACGTCTCTTTCTGATTTAACGATTGACCTATCGTAAAACTATTCGTAAATTCAACTGCGCAAATCAGATTCTTTCAGCAAGGAATGGACCATAGAAATTGCGAACCGGTTTTCTTGATCGTAGAAATACACACGAATGAGTCCTATAACTTTGAACTTTCTAGGACATGGATGAAGTTTAAGAATCCATCTAGAAGTCTCTATTAACTTTTACTGTCCCATAATTCGTTATCGAAACTTTTCTTGATCTACGATCATGACTGCATAATTTGACGTTCAGTTATCATGCTTATAAATTGCACGATCACTTTCGATTCTGAAAAGCCAACATTTTTCTGATTCTAAGATAAATATTAAGTTGATAAGTGGACTGGAAAATTGCTAAAAATTCAGCTTGTATCTCTTCAATCAAGTACATGTATCTTATACAAATTTCATTTGCGATAAAAACAGTCAAATCACAAAAGAACGAACCTTAATCAGATTTGAAATTTCACTTCAATCTTCGTCGATTCATCCCGTATTCCGAATATTTCACGTTCAAAATTATTTTCCAATCCAACCTTTCCTTCGTGATGCAATGCTCGGTAATTTGAAAAGACGTGTTGCTGCAACGAAGTAATATCTCCAACACACACACACACACACACACACAATGCAGAAATTTTGCGGAGCACACTCGCATAAAATCAACAAACAGACGATCAAGAAATAACAAGGGTTACGACAGAATTTCACTTGGTCTCGCATTATCTTTACACTGAATCTTGGAAAAGATACGCTACGAACACGAGCAGGTACGTGACGTTCCTGTCGAATATTCTCATTATTGTGAGAAGAAACAGCTGACGTATAAAACTGCGAAAGAAATCATGTTACCCACTGTCATTCTCACTATTCAGTTGACTGTTTCGAAAAGGAGTCTCTTCCTATTTAGGACGAATTTTCACTGCCTTTTTCTTCGAGTTTTTTCCTTCGTCTCGTTCAAATACTCTCAGATACACTCGTGTGGGAATATCCTTAATCAAAAGGAAACGCAACGCACCGTATCGTCTGTGGAAAAGAAAGGGTGCAGCGACAAGGTGATTATTCAACCTGAATGTAATTTTTATCTCTTGCGTGAATTAAAAAATACCTTTAATTAATCGTACTTCTCGAGATTTCCACATTTTTACTTCGTCGACACACCTGGCAGACATTTGCATTCCGTACTAGAAAATAAATGAATATTTGTGTCATTATAACATTTTCGTATTTAAATATAATTATAATAAGATATAAATTTATCTTTCAGATTCGTTCAGATAGACTAACTTTTGAAACTTATCTCCAGTGTAAAGATACACTTGTATAGATAAAGTTATTTACACATGAATGGACTGAAAGCGTCAGGTAGATTTTTAATTTCACTTTCTGTTTCACAATAGAAACATTACTCTTTTCTGTAGAAGTTTTATATAACATGTTTGTAACATTCGAAATGTAGTGTATCATAACGAGAAGCGTTCAAAGGTTATATAATGATAGCAAATAGCATACTTACATCGCAATGTCGCGCAGTAAAAAAATATAGAAAGTCAACCTCTTTGATTCATGCTTAACAGTTGACTGCCATGGAAATATTCTCACGTGTAACTGTAAAATGGTACTGCGGTGGAAACAATATCGATTATTGATATGCTAATCAGTCGAATATAATAGGCTCGCTTATTCCATAGAAATTGGCTGAATAAAGTTCAATTTCACCTCTGTTTATCAGACAATAAAAAATGTATTTTATTTTAAAATATACTGCTTTAAATATAAAATATATAAAGCTTTCCTTTAATCGACGATAATATTATTCATTCTCTTTTTTTTCCGGAAGAAGACGTTCCCTCTGTTGGAAAGTATGTAACTTTTTTAATATTCCTAACTTCCTGATGTTTATTATAACTCTTGAGGATTAGTAATTAATGAGAAATCTACATGAAATGGATGAGATATCTTTACAATTAAGAAGATTCGAATCTAGAAATAGAGGCATCTTAATTGGTCCTTCATGTTAATCTCTAAGTTTAAACATCAAATGTAGACAAAATTATAGTGGGACATCGTTGCATATAAACAAGATGGACTATCACTAATTAAGATAAAATATTCTGACTATAACAGTAAAATAACCGACCCCGTGAGCTAATTATACGAAATTTCTAGGTTTAATCCGCAGCAGGGAGCTATTATTTGGTAATGAACTAGGCACGAGAAACCGTTTTTTTAAAAACCGTTAATTAAAGTTAGAAGATAAGATAATTATTTGTGTAAGCCATTAAAATAACAACGAATTATATATATGTGTGCTTAATTTGAAAGATAAATTATGTTTCTTATTTATAAAGTTTAATTTTATGAACGAAGATACATATTTTCATTTAGATCAATTTTTTTGTTACGCATTCTATGTATAAAAAAAAAAAAAAAATGATAAATTAGATAAAACTGCAGAAAATAAAAGGTAACTTTAATCATTCATGTTTTAACAAATACACGAGTAAGCTAAAGTGTCTCATATATCTTTGTTGCTTTTTTTAAAGATTTTTTAATGATTTCACATATTAATATAGCAATTTTGTATACAAACTTGACGCTGTTAAATGAGTCTGTCATGAATCAACATCCAAAGTTCTTTCTAAATTAGCGGTAGCTTCGTTAACAAAAATCCACGAAGAAATATATCATTAAATCCTATATAGACTTAAATTACTTAGTAATTACAATGTTCCTTCTTCATATCCCAAGTTGAGAAAACTACAATACCTATTAAAACAGTGAGCACATCGATTACAAACGAATCATAAAATATCTTACGTTCATTCGTTATCACTAGCATTTTAATAGTATATCAACCTTCGAACACATTTGCCAATAGTGAATCTTTCTTTTCTCATGCAAACGGATGGAACGCATATCCGAGTCTTCCTTAACGTTCCCTACAAGCACAAACACGTAAAGAAATAATATTATCATGCATCCTCTAGGAAGAGAGACCGCCATCAGTTTTTTGCTAATCATCCAAATCGTCTGGAACGTTTCGTAGAAGACGATCTCGAAACAAGGTACCGTGACCAAGGCGATAGCCTCGATAATCGTTAACTGTTGGAAAGCCAGGCAGCAACGGCCTATTCGTAAGTCTTCTTGCACATTATTAAAAAGTGAAAGTAATTTTTTATCATGTTCCTCTTTTCGTCTCTCACACGCGTCTTCCATTCGACGGCGTCACGACGTAAAACTCGAAAAACTGTACACTTCAACGAAAACACAACCTTCTCCCGTTCTCCTCGTCTTCTGCTTCTCTTCGTCACCATTCTCTTTTCATCGATCGTTCTTACGGACACGCAGCTACGTTACATTGCAAACGTTACTTCTGAAATGCAGCGTCTCCGAAAGGAATCTCGGCCTCGTTCGCACGGCGGGTTTTCAGGGTTGAAGATACGTTTCCACCGCATGAACGAGCTTACGAAGACACGTTGTATCGACAGTGGAAACAGCGGTTGAACAATGTACGGCAGAACCGATAGAGAATGTCGTGGGCGAAGGATCACAGGCCAAGTCAATGGCCGTTCAGCAGGATCGCACCTCCGCGGTATAGTATTCTTCGGCAGTTTTCTCGGTGATTTTCGAACAACCCTCGGAAGAATTCGAGCTAGGCGTTTATGATTTACTTTATTTTTGCTTTAATTTATCTGTCTGTGGTACATACAGGATGGTCCCTGCAATGAAAATTGCTTTAATAACATTATAAATTCCGTTTACAAATTACAAAGGAAATTGGTACGAATTAATACTGTACACTGCGTCGTGAAACGTGTTAATTTTTTTTTTTTTCAAGTTCTCTCTGTCTTACGATCTGTTTTAGATACAGACTTTATATAGTTATTTGTGTGTCTCTTTTTTTTTTCTCTCTCTTGTCAAGCATACACATTTTGGCAGTTTTAGCTATGCAAAATTGTCATTTGTGGTACAATTGAATTGGAGGAAAAACTGGGCGTGAACATTACTTAAAAAAAAGAAAGATGTACTTCAGTTTTCAAGGAATTGAGTTCGGAATTTACGTGCAATCTTGTTTGATGCATCTGATTCCGTGTTTTTTGATCGTACTATGGCGTGTATAAATGTCAACGGAGGAGTTTCAAATTTTCTTAAGCTCGTGGCTATTTTTCTCTCTTGTTTTCTAAAATCAGTAACCACTGAGATTAATTAAAATAGAACATCATATAAAAATGATCTCTAGATTACATATTAAACATTAAAATACGACATTGAAATATGTACTAGGAATAAAAGTTTGTGAAATATACAAGACAATTTATTCGTCATAAACTCTTGAATATCTTTGTTGGAAACATGTGGAAGCGTTTAACAATAAAATTATGTGAATTAAATAACGAAATATATATAATGTTATTAAAATCATCATTCTAGGTATATTCAAAGACCCTTTAATAATTAAAAATGATTAAAAAAATTCATATTTCATACGTTCATAAACGTCAAAAATATTCAAGATGTTCACGAACAATGAAACACCTTACATTTACCTAACGCTGATCGAAATGACTAGCTTAATCAAGAAACGAGTCAGATTTTCATTTCGAGAACTTTCAATTGATTAACTCGATTGAAACAAAAAGAAAAAGAAAAAAAAAAAGAAGGAAGTGCCATTTTTTTCGCAGAAAAGCACGTTTCTACAAGTGAAACGTTAGATCACGAAACCGCGCGACAAAGAAACCGACACACCCGATGTAAAAGGAACAGGACGAAGCAGCATACAATAATCTCCATTAAACGATGTGAATATATTATATTTTCGTAAGAAATTCGCAGAAATATGCATAGCGTATTAATCGTACGACATATGGTATAACGTGTGTACATATAATGACGTTAGATTACATTGTGTACTTAAGATAAATAATCCTTACACGATATAATGAACGATTCAAAAGAGTTTTCCGTGGTACTACGGTTTGAATTGCACACGATGTATGTATTACGACGCGTAACACGTGTTCGAATCGAAACGAATTGAATCGAATCGGAACAGATATATTCAGAACTCATCCAAGAACTCGGAACTCGGAACGACGAGGAGGCGGAAGCGCGGAGAGCCTCGTTTCGTTTCGCGCCGTTTCGCCCGTTCTCTCGTCTCGTCCTCATTGATCGACCAAATCGATTAAATTTTCACCGTGTCCCCATGACTTTCCATTCGTGTCCTTGCTTTTCTGAAAATCCTCCGACAGACTGGATCGAGCCCACTCGATCGGAAGGGAAGTTTGTTTATTCCGAAAGAAAGAGAGCGGCCGATTGAAAAGAAGGAAACGAAGGATAATAGAGAGAGAGAGAGAGAGAGAGAGAGAGAAACAGAGAGACAGAGAGCGACAGATACACGATGTGAAAGTTTAACCAATTAATATCGATACACAGTACTTGTTCGTCGTTGCCCGGGTCGATCGGGGCCCGCTTCGACCAGACGATCGATTCAGGACAACTCGAGGATTCGACTCGAGAGACCACGGGGATTAGAGAGACGAAGAAAGCCGAGCTAAAACGCGCTGCTACGTTCGTCTGCATGCCGAACGGAAAGTCACCGCGAGCAGGTAACCGCGAAAAATCAGATTGTTGAATAATTCGCCTCCGGCTAGTTTGATTTCGCTTCGCGCCAACCAATCACTCCTCCTTCTGAGACTTCGCTGCTTTCCTGGCACCTTCCTCTTCCAGGGTTTCATCCAAATCGCTCCGCCATCGCCTGACTTCTCTTTCTCCTCTTGTTCTTCTTCTTCCTTCTCATCGTGGCTTCCTCTCATCCGTCGCGCGTCTTTCTTAACCTTTCTTTAATCTCTTCCTCCTTCTTCTGTCTGTCTGTCTTTTTCTTTTTTTTTTAAACTTTTCCTTCTTTTACGCGTATGTATTTCTTTTATTTATTTATTTATTTATTTATTTATTTATTTATTTATTTATTTTTATCTTAACCTGTCCGCACCTCTCGTTTAGTTTTATCTTTTTGTTTCGCATAGGTTTAACTTGAGAAACGCGGCTTATAAAACGTTTTTTTCCGTTTCTTTCGCTCGCTTCGGATGATACTCGCTCAGTTGCTTCCTCGCCTCTTCTCCTTCTCCTTCTCCCCTACGGTTCTATGTCCTGATTACATGATTATGCATTTGCCTCTCTCGGCCCAGGGATTGTTCTTCTTGTCGGGCGCGTGTATCAGTGGATCAGTCTTTTCATTCTCTTCCACGTATTCCCTCATCCTGAAAGCAGGCACATGTTTTATTAATCTCTTCCTTCGACTAACATCGATGATTGATAGGTAGACTGAAATTAACCATCCAGAGGAAAAGGTAAAGAGTCGTTGAATCGCTTTGAGAATCGAGAAACGATACATTCATTTATTAGCGATTGAAATCATCATAAATGGTTCCACGTGATTTTATATGTAGCGATTGGTTTTACTGAATTACGAACGAAATTAAAATAACTTTCAATGTGCAAAATTAAAGAAAAAAACGTGTAAAATACGAGCTTTGAATATTGAGATCTTTGTCGAAAAGGAAACAGTTACAGAAAAGAAATCGATCGGAAAATTAGCAAGTACGTTAACTGCCATTACTTGTTGATTTTGTGTTCGTAGGTTCAATGATCAATAATTTTCCCATATCGCCATTACGTAATTCTTATTACATTATCATTATATAACAGTTACATTACTTACCTACTGGCTAGAACTTGTATTGTCTGTACTCTATATCGATTTTGATAAAATTGATCATTAATTTTGTAATTTAGGTTTTAAAGTAATTGATACAGTTTGTTTAATACCTGATACGTGATAATCTTCGCAATAAACTGCTTTAAGAGATACAACTATTAAAAAATTGATAAATTAAATTGAATTTTATAATTTTTAAATTTTACTAAAAATTAATGATTACTACATTAAATATTAAACATTAAATATTACTAAAATACATTGTGACTTTATTTTATTCGATACATATGTATGCCTGGCGTAATAAGTATTTTAGAATATATTTGATTATTTCAGAAAAGAGCGGAGAAATCGCGATAAATTTCTAGGTGTTCGAGAGACGAGATATACATGCAGGATTATAAACGTAACAAGGTTGCAAGCGATACAAAGAAAAGTGCAGCGAGAAACGAATAGTTGGCCGTTTCGCCGCGAAGGCTCGGTGAAAGGGACTCGGCAACTACTCTGGCCGATTTTGCGTTCAAGGAGAATTCTGTATTCCGAAGGTTTACGATTACTTGATCGCGATCGAATAATTTTTCCAACTAACTTCAAATTGTAATCAATTTATTCCACGATGTCGGAACAGTCTGGTTTTCTCCTCAATGAAAAAAGAATGAGAAGACTCTGAAATCCGTGAGAAGGAGAAAGTAAAATATTAGGAGAGATAAGTACTTCAAACTAGGTTATTTCAAGCTTTTCAGATCTCTTTTATTACAATATATATATATATAAACTATTTTTTATAACATTAAAAGTTTAGAAATTATATCTATTCTGCATTGTGTCTCTAAGTTTACCGCCATTTAGAATTTATCTATGGTAATATCACTTCAAATACTTTACTGAACCTTTTAATAATATCCATTGCAATAATATCGGATGTCTCGATTAGAATTTATTATTGAATTTATTATACTTTCTACTGCGTCTCGTAGTTCGCACCGATCTTTGGATATGCAACGTTATCTCGAACGTACATTTGATCGTAAAGAATAAGTTGGAAGGATACGACACAAATTCTTCAGTTATGGCGCTGAATAAGGCAAGTTCTATACCTAGATGCAATCGCAAGTATGATTCCTGTCCGCTGTTTTCAAACTGATGAACTACAGAGGGAAAGAGTCTGAATTATAGAGGTGTCTGCTATTGAGATACGGTTAAAATTACGCAACGCTAATGGGGCCATTTTTATTGAATGAACGGGGTATTATGCAGGATTTTTTTTCAAAACACGAAGAAATTAATCTTATCTTGTACCCTAAACGTTTTATGAATTTTAATACAAACTATAAACGTATCTAACGTAGAAAAGAAATGTAGATTAGAAATTTTAATAATTAAGATATCTCTAACATTAGTCAGGGATAAGTGAGATACTTTTCAATCTACACTGTAGCAACTTTCTTTTTTACTATACTCCAATATCTCAGTACACCAATTTTCACGCTTACGTTTAATCATTGAAATTCGATTTTAAATCAAATTTCAATGTTACCTTTTCTATTTCGAGTAAAATAAGCAACTGATTTTTGTTTATCGAAGAGAAGATATAATAATCTAATTCTAATTGAATCTTTGTTAATTGTACTTTTGTTTGTCAATCACTGTTAATGAATATCAATAACAGCTCTAATCATAAGAATCTTCTGTTCCAGTCAACTCACAGATTAGCAGAAAACCATTAGCGAGAAAATCATAAGCTTTCACTTATCACTCTTTATTAGAAACGGATGTGGGTTAATGACCTGTTGCGGCTTGCACAAGTTACTTTTCAATGCTTATTTCAGAGAACCGTTTTGCTTGAAACACGACATTATCTGCAATTGATTGAGAATTTTCCGATTACTTGCGACGATTCTTGCTCTCTTTCTAAAAAATGAATTATGTTCTATTCACTAAGAATACATCTTGCATCCTTCTATTGTATTATAGTCAAAGGGCCCGTTCATTATGATAGAAAATAGTTTCTACAACTTTCACAACGTAATTTCTAAACCTTCACGTGCGTCTGTACCCTATAATAAAGACTGTATCATCAACTTCGGAGTACATCAAGTTCGAAAACGTTGAATTGTATGCAAAAGCGAAGACTGGGTCAATTCCGACGTTTCACGCAGACGTTTCACGTTCATTATACTTCATGTCACGTTTACGTGTTCCACTCTGTCAAATTATTGGTCGAAATTTTTATGGAATATGAGACGTATGAAGTTAGTACACGATAAGAAAACCAACTTCTCCCATGCGCGACGAGAGCAAAGTTTCGCAAGTACCGAAAGTACACTTACCGTAGAAAATTTTTATGGATTAATTTTCTACTAAAAAAACGTATCAACGATAAGCATCTCTCTCGTAACTTTTACATACATTTTCGGAATTGTTTCAAATTTCGCTAATATAATCGCGTCGTAATCCGACTGCTAGTGAAAATTTGAAGTTTTGAACATATACACGCGAAAGAAGGTTCTCTATGGTGGTACAATGGTTCAAGTACTTTCATGAGCCACTTTGTACGTAAGCAGTTGGCGCGGACAATGCCGTTTCTTCGAATGTATCGCGACGTGCACGATGGGGAAAAGCGCGCGACGCTGGAGGAAGGAGAATGTCCGGCGTTAGGTGCTCGACAGCGCGAGCGAGAGATTAGCTCGATCGGCAAGAGAGGAGGAAAAAAATGAGAGGTAAGTACCTTTCACTTCGACACTCTCCGAGAGTGCAGACCGCGGAAACTTTTTGCTTTCGCGTGCGATTCACCTCGAAAAACCGCAGCGGACAACAGCGCCGTGGTTCCGCGTTCGTTCCGCAACACCGTACACAACTTCCCATATGTTATCAAACACCAAGCGTCTGTTGTCTCGTTAGTTACACGGTGTCGTTAAACTCTCTGCGATCCCAGCGAAATTTCAGGCTAATTGCCTGCGTCAATACGATTTGTTCGAGATCTCGCCGACACTGACAACCGGTGTCTGTATCATTATAACGTATCCGCTTGGTGTGTCGTAATAACGTGTCGTTTTTTTTTTTTTTTTTCACCTATCCTCTATTAACTTCACACTGATAGACGATATTTATTTGAAAAGTAGCACACTAAGCTTCAACATGTAAAATTTAATTCCCTTTCGATTAAATAACCAAAAAAATGAAAAATCAGAAAATAGAGAAAGATCGAATCATCATCTTTCTACCTGCGACCTGCGATTGTGATTCTAGGTGTTTTAATACCAGGTGAGATTGAGTGGATGTCTATCTAGAGTTCGAGCGTCTAAAAGCGATTAATCCACGAATATGCGATTAACGGATACTCTATGTCCAAGGAGATCCTGTCCCAGCATGTAATAACGCCACCGGGAACGCTGGTGTAATGTAACCTTGACTGTCGATTACTGGCCGCGCGTTGCGGCAGGCCATGCCACACCGATTACACCGGTTATACGTCACCTACACGTCCCGCGTTCTTCGATTTGTCTAGGAAGCGGCTTCTCCGATCACATTGTCCGAACGATCTTTACACGACACCGAGACGATTGTTTCGTTCCAGTTGATTCAACACGGTGCGATCGATACTACGTCGTTCGGTTCTTCGTCTTTTAACTATCATCTGCATTATTTTATCGCGACGTAACACCAGGCTGAAATCATAGAACTTAGAATTTCCAATTTTGTTTGTTCAAAGGGATATCAACGTTCGTTGAACATTTCAAGACAAATTTGATAATTTGGTATGTCATTATATCTGTAAATATGTAATTGTAAAATTTCTCGTTATCTCATTAAGATCATAGCGAGAGAAGTTTTGTGAAATTTATAAATCTTTATAATTTCGAACGGATAACCGTGCATGCAAGATAGCAACATGTGTTAATTAAGCGCCGAGATAAAGGAACACGATAGTTTAAGAAAGAGTAATTAATTAAAAATGTCTTGAGATCAGATAACAGCATGTGATTCATGTGTACGATCGAAAGATTCTGAACGTTCGATGTTAAGCTGTAAGGTACGAATGTATGACGCGAGTGAATCTTCAAAACGAGAGGGATTCATTGACTCGTTGAGGATCAAGTATCCATTGGACCTGAAGACTCTGAATCCACTACGCCAGAAAACCAGAATTACTAATATTGATTTGACCTATTATCCCAGTATAACATAAAACAATATTAAAAATAGCGTTCGTCGATAATCGCCTACTTTTTCTTTTTGTACAAGTTTGGAATTCCGAGATTAATTAACGCAAATAATATCTTAAATTGCCAAAGAAGGAACTTAATTTCTGCTGTGTATTAATTTTGATCCTGCCTTACAATTAATTTCTGACCGATTTATTAATATTCTTTTGATTTTGTGCTAGACTCTATAAATTTTAGAATAATAATTATATTTAGCAGATTTTTGATTACACTATATATATATATATATATATATATATATATATATATATGTGTATTTGTTATACCATATATGTAAGATGTCTTAGAGAGTTCATTCAAAATTCTTCAATCATCTCAATCAATTGACAATTTTAATGTTACAAATTTGTCATAGTGTAAGCACTATAATCTATTTATCCAGTACGTCAATAACTTTCAACCTGTTGATCGTTAAATCAATTTTCTTGAACTTCAATGGATACTTCTATATACTTAAGAAAAAAAGAAACAAGTTGACGAACTCCCAAACTAAGCGATTGTCATGAAAACATCTAATTTGATTTTTAGACATGTTCAATCGAACAAGTTGAGCAACTTTAATAAACTGGAATAACTTATGTATATAGTTATTACTGGTCGTAATGACCCTTTTAACAGAATAGAATCGAAGAGAGACCGCGGGTGATTGACACTGGGAGGGGGTTGGTTGTCACAAGTCTAATTACACGTCTAATTATCCGTAATCTATGGCGATCTAATGACTGTGATTCGAATTACTGTAGCATCTCCATTATCTGAAAATCCATTACTCAAACATTCGATTATTCAAACAACGGAATTCCTTCGTTACATATATACATATATACATATACGTCTGGTATAATTTCTTCAATTTTGCAACTAATTTCTCGAACAATTGAATACGTACAAGGTAATAGAGAAAATGACAGAACAATTGGAAAGAAGGTTGATAATCTCGCTGAGTTCAATGTTAGCCCGATTATAAGAGATTCACGATAGAATCAGCCTTTCCGTTAGATGCAAGGCAAATCCTTGGGTTTACGATTGCGAGATTTCCCACTGCAAAAATCATCGTAATCGTTTCCTTGGCCGTTCAAATTCTTTTGATTATCAAAGACAGCGAGGTAAAATTGTTTGTCTGGCGTTAGCTCTAAAGTTTTTCAAGGTCTCTGGAATACGCCATAAGAATTTCAAGGAGAAAACAGATTTCACATGGAGGCAAGCGTGGATTCGAATAAGCGAATGTGTACGAGCAAGAACACGAAAGAAGCTCAATAAAAAGATTCGAAGCCTTTAAAAGAACTGTCTCGTTATAGAATAGTATAGATAGTTATACATTGAAATAAATAAAAGTAAATTTAATAAGTACGACGATACGTGAAAATTTTTATATCTGAATGAGAATTGAATTATTATCATTATTATCTCAGTTGAAATATATAACTGTATATAAGAAATATAGAATATCTAATATATTCTTGCAACTGTAAAAATATACAAAACACATGTATAAAATAAATCTAGTTTCTATATATGTAGTATACATTTTATCATCAGTTTTTTAATAAACATTCGTAGTTTGGTAGTTTATTCATATTTACATACAGACATGCATACAACTAACTGAACGTAATAAAAATTTTTACGTATTTCAAGTATAGAACAATATGATATAACGTTCAAAGTTGTCATTTAAATTATTATTTAAATAGAATCATGGAATATTCATACAAATACAAAAATTATCAACAAAAATTATAAAGAATGCTACATTAATTTGAAAAAAAGAACGCGAGTAATTATTTAAATTTTACGTCCACTGTAACAATGTATCACGTTCATCAATATTCTGTTTTTATCAATTTTCGAATTATCTAAATACAGTTTCAGAAGTTTAAGAAACAGAAATTATTTGCTACTTAAATTTTTCATCGTACTCTTTATATATTACACATTACGTGTACTATAAATAACTTCTTAACTAAAAGTAGGCTCGAAAGAAATCCTAAATAAAACACAAAATCACTTGGTTTATTTAAATGTAATTAATTTTAATTTATAATCACTTGAATGAATCACTCTTCTAGATCAATCAATCTTAAAGTTAAATTAAAAATAATATGCGACACAGAGCCTTGGGCAATCATTATGTCGTGCTAAATTTATCTATGACAGAAACATTCGAAGTAAAACTAATTCTCGAATATCGTAAAATTCATATATAATACGAATAAAAATATACCTCTGACTGTTAAACATTTTCCACTGCAGATACTTTGTAGAATGTATGAAAAATGACCATAGGATTTATTTTTTACCATCATAAAACATTCCTGTGTCTTTTAGTATATAATTTCTCATTAGAAAAATTATTGAAGAACAGCGCAAAGCGTTACTGTGAACACGTCTCGTATAAGAATCACCCTAGAAGCCTGCAGGAGCTTCAGTCAAAGTCTGAATTTTTAAGTCACCACTATCCCCTTGTCTAAATCCTCAACCCTCTTTAACTTCGTCAATGCAACCCATTAAAAAATGATGAATCGTCTCACTGAACTTTCTTTGTACGATACCTGGAGGGCAAAGAAAATATAAAATAAAATATTCAGTCTGACAAATGTGCCTCGTATACAATCGGCAAACGATTAGGAATTACCGAATAAATTACAATAAAAATCATTGACAGAACGGACCAAATCGAACCAAAAAGCACGCAGGACCAATTACTCGAACTATAACGAAGCAAAGGCTAAAATGAGACGACACAGCCACTAAAATTATCAACCAAGTGACTTACGATAACAAAGATGAACGCGAAGTAACATCGCGTGTTAATCAGCGTATCAAACGAGACAACGGCAAAATAAAAGGGCGCAAACGAAATTTCACGAACAATTGATGAATATAGGATGAGATAGATGGGGTTGTTGGACGGGTAGCACGAAACTTTCCATGGACCATCCTCGCCGTACCATCATCTATCAAATGAGATGAGTAAAACAGAACTGAGAAACAGAGCACGCATTCTGAATGTAAATCAGCAACAAAAAAAAAAAGAAATTGCGACAACGACGTACAAAAGGTGAGACACGGACGAAAAAACGAAGGGTTAATGGACTTACGCGACAATACTCTTCGACAGGGGCCACCGTTCCATATCAGCTTGGTACTTCATGTTCTCGATCTGCTTCTTCAGTGCGTCCTTGTCCATGTTAGCGAGTACACTGGGATCCATGGTTATAGCCGCGCCTCCCTTTTGCCAGATAAGAGCCGAATAGCGCTTGCGCCTCTACGAAAAATCAATAGAACCGACTATGTATGGGGACTCCTGTTATTGGAACACCAAACCTACGTCACAGACTGGCAACAGGAAATTCGATTCTGCGAGGAAAAGTGCACGAACTTTTCCCTCGTCGCGACCTCCGCGAGATGACAACGGATCCCGATTCTGTTTCTCGCACGCACGTGACGTCCAAACCGTCATCGTGCGGATCGAAGCGTTATGTAGCCGTTTCATCATGTTGTTTTATATTAATCCATATATGTACGCGTTACAGGTCATTATACCGAAGGCACTTGGTACTTTGGTACAACCAAACGTAGCTTTCGTAGATTGACTTGATCTTGGATTTCTTGGAAACTCTGTTTAACCAACGGTGTTTGGCACGATCCTGGCAAATTAGCAGAAGATCGCTTGTAAAGAGATGACCCTCTTTTTCTTACAGATTTAAACTCTGTGCTATCTTGCTCCGAGTGAGGGGATGCTGTTGCTGACAATTGCGGAATTATAAATTATTTGTACATGTCGAGTATGTACAGAGCGTTCGCGGATGTTTCAAAAACAGCATCTGAAGTAAAATGCTTTAATACGAAGCCTCGTTACAGTTGAACTTCGATTAACTGAAAAATTTCCAAGAGTAAAAATCAAAATCTTTGCGAATTATAATCTCTGCGTTCCTAACATTTTCAATAATCCCAGTGGGAATAACATACAAGTGGGATTATTTTTTCTAGATACTTATTCTTCTGTTCTGTTGACGAGCTGTTTTTAAGCACTTTCAATGAAGAACCCTTTGACGCTTCCAGCGGAAGCAACGAAGCTTGAATCTTAACGAGGAACACATGGAACAAACACAATGCGCGTACCCATAATAAATTTCTAACGCCCTCTTCTCTTTTTACGGTTTATACGCTTATTCTTCCCTGTCGGTAATGATCGTTAGGCAGGGGAAAGTACCATAAATAAATTAAATTTCAACATCCGTTTGAAACATGATGTAAAATGTGGTGATAAACGGTAGTTCCATTCTATCATTTGGCAACAGATACTATGTTACTGTTTTATACGATTCTCAAATATTTGTAACAATAGAATTAAGAAAAGCTAATCCGTTGCTTTACTCACACACTGACCAAGATTATTGTGTCACGCATTGTAATTATCGAATTCGTACACACATTCCACATAGAGTAGCTAATAATTCCTACGGCTTCGTTCCTCAACGTGACTAACAATAAGTATCGTTTTCCGAACAAAGTCAATGATGATCTTCCATTTTACAAAATATTTGTAGTTAATCTAAATTCTAAAAAGAAAATATTTATCTTATCGTAATTTTTATACCATTTTAAATGTTGCGATCGCCTGTTTCCTTTCTCTATAAGAATATAACTATTTTCGGTAAAAAATATTTTATGTATATGTGTAAGTAACATAATCAAATAAATAAAAGAAATAAAAAGGAATATTTATCTTTTATTCTAAATGTCAGCAAATGTACAATCCAAAAGCTTAAAGAATAAAGAATAATTTTACTCACGTCTGATCGTACACGTAAACAGTAGTCGCTACTTTATTTGTAATAAAATCTTCCAAGAAATTGCTTTCACAATGTCAAGCAGAGCATGCTCCGAAACAGGCTTGGGATAATAAAAAATATTCGAGTCATGACACAGATGTTCACAATAAAGTTATACAAGTTGGAATTTTGAAAAAGAAAAATGTCTATAATAAATTTCAAATTTAGTTACTAAATGGAATGAACATTTAAATATTTCCACACTAATAACTAAATAGATGACATGAATTAACTTGGAAAAGAAAACTCCAAATTAATTTAACTTGGAAGAGAAATTAATTCCAAAAATTTATTTCTACGCGACAAAATTACAAGTTATCAAGCTGCTATTAATTAAAATTAAAATCGCAATAATAATGTCACTCATAATAGAGATTCAGACGATAGTTGCCTTACTTTGGCACAAGTTCTTCTAATTTCAAAAATAAAACATTAATGAATCAATTTTAAAATTTACAATATTTCGAATTCGTATAGGTTCATTGGAATTTATTATTTTTGAAAATGTAAGAAGAAAAACATTATTTCACAAATGATTATATATATATATATATAAGTTATTTGTAACTTGGATCCAAATGGAAATAATTAAATTAATTTAATTTAATTTTTCACTATTCCACTCAAATCGGACATTTCTGCTACCCAAGGTCATTCCTCTACAAACCACGCCAAAAATAACATCCATTTAAATGACCCTATCATAGAAGTTGATTTTTATCACGCGTATACTATAAATATAGATGCGAGTGTTTATACTGCTATTTATCTCCTCCATATTTTAGATTATGATAATAATCATAGCTTACGTTTCATTTCACTTTCCCATCTATTGCGAGTTTATCTATGCATAATTGATGATTACTATCATATAAATATCCATTCGCTATACTATCACAAAATGCATCAAGTGTAACAAATATTTTTTTTATGAAAAATCACTTTTTTGTTGATATTATACTTATTTATGGGACAGCATGTAAGTAACCTAGATCATATGCATATAGCATGTGCTATATATGCATATTATGTGCAGCAAACAAAATTTTAAATTCTGTTAGTCTGGTATAACAAACGTTACGCATATTTTGTAGAAATATTTTATATCATGCAATCTATCCTTCTGTCCTTTTTTAAATTATTTTTCATCTAATTTATATAGAATTATAATATATAAAATATAAATAATATATAAAATTTATATAATTTTGCTGTACTGCAAAATATAGGAGCTATCGAAAAGTCAAAAATAAAACGTACAGTTTTTTTCAAATAAGATTTCGCAGAAATCGATGTATCAAGCATGTATATCTAAGTAATAATTTGGACCACGGTATGCATCTCTCTTCATCAAACATTTTGCGTTATTCGGTATTTTTCTTAGCTTACATTGATAAGATAATAGATTCTAAAGAAAAAGATGTAGACCAAGATTTACGAAGTCATTACTGAGTTGGAAGTATTCACGTACTTGCTACATTTTCAAAATTTTAAAATCAATCCTCTCGAGAACGAAATCTTATTAAAAAAATTTCTTTTTTTATTTTCGATTCATTTTTTTTTTCTTTCTATAGAAAATTACGTTTTTGCAAATCATTCTGTATAAATTACACAGCAAATTCATATAAAAATATGTTGCATATAACATTTTCAATTTTTTTAAGAGCATTATTCAACTAATCAAACTTAATTCAACTAATCAAATTTAATATCAAAGTCTATCAAATTTCTCCAGACTTTTTTCCGTATAACACGTTTTATCTAGCTTAACATATTATTTGATTAACGACCAATGATCGAACATAAACCTCGATAGAAGGATAAAAATTACAAACGCTTGCGTTTTGCGATTAATTAATTTAATTTAATTTGCCAACGAAGGAAAATAAAGTTCGTAGTTGAAGAGAACAAAAACCTGCTGCGTCCATTTGCCTCGACATTCACTTCAGCCTCGAGAAATGTCTCTTAAAATGCAAGGCGTGTATAACCAGCCTACGCTAAGACTAAGATCAACGATAGCTGAAAAATCAACGTCGCGGAATGCCAGCCGAAACTTTCCCGATCATTTTGAAATAGCTCGGTGCATTCACACCGACCTAGCGCACGTAGACGCGACACCGCGACGAAAATTCACCGCTCTTCATAGATAATAATTATCTCTATCAACTAGGTCTAGGCTCCGTCGTTTCGAAACCGTTTCGGCTCGCAGAATCGAATCGAGTATTTTTCCTTGATGATATTTTCGAGAGGTATTCTCGATACTGGCACTTACCCAGTAAACAGAATTTCGGTGTACAGCAGGGGGCACGTGTCACAGGAAGTCCGTCCCAATAATCGTGGTCGAATATTAGAGAGTAGCACTCACCTTGCCGGAGGTCGGAGAAGTTCTGAGATGCGCTGACTCTTGGCAGGTTTCTCGATTCGCTTACGGAAGCCTCAACAAAACTCGGCAATCTAATTTGCTGGTAATTTACGTGCCGATATCTTCAATCATTGTTGTCATAAGAATATTCCTCGGCGAATGTTCGGTCTGCTTATAATCCGTAATAAATAAACTGACCGTGTTAACCTTCCTCTCGACCTGGATGGCTCTCGATTCCGTTACACGCTTCTTATGGCATCGATGAAAATAAGTTCTCTATGGAAAAATAAAATAAACCGATGTTTATTGTCTCTAAAGGTATATGTCGTTGCTATATATGCATGTTGACACGGATATGATGCAATTTTTGATGAAACTAGCTTGGCGTACGTTTGAAACAGAAATTGATTTATTAAATAGGGATAAACCAAAAATGCTAACTTTTTTAAAAATATTTCGTTTTAAATATTAACAAATTCATGGCACGCGAATCTGTAATCTGTACATGTAGTACTTACATGTTGATTACAATTCTTTAGTTATTGTCAGTAAATGTAGTGCGGCTCCTTTACTACGGGAAAATAAAAAATTAGCATACGTATATAGGTATAAACATATTTCTTTACAAATTTAAAATATATATTTCGTATAAATGTTAGCCAATAAATTGAATGTTAGTAAACATTATGATTTAGTTATACATATATATAGTATAGGCATGTTAAGAAATACTACAAAACGTGAAAATTAAAAAATTTCTAAAAGTTTCTTAAAAACTGCTAATTTTTTTTTGTTGGTTTTTATTTTGTTTATAATGATATAGTTGATAGTAATTGTATATAATAGTTAATAACTAGCAAGAGAATTCAAAAACTTAAAAACAGTAAATGAAAACTCGGCATGAATTTAGGAATTAGTCTGTCATTGTATTAATTAATCTTAGTGTTAACACACTTACTAGCCACTGTTGATCATTCTTGCATAGCGCAAGCTTCTTATTATGTTTGCTAACAAGATTGGCAAAATCTACTTGTAAGGTATACTAGACTAAAATGTTGAATCATATCATTTACTTGATCTTTTACCGTTTAATGTCTTTTTCATTAAGAAAAGCAATGTACAATGCTATTTTTGTATGAAATGCAAATATATACACCGATTTGTAGACAAAATTTATTGATTAAGTTATTGATCAAAATTAATTAACAGCCATCAAAAGGCATCAAAAATTACTGTAGTTTTTACTTTCATTATTTTTCTAAATAATTATTTAAGCTTTCCTAATCGATATATATTATAAAAGATTGCAAATTGTAAATTATACAACTGTAAATACAATAAATAAAATTTAATTTAGTTTTTTATTGAATTTATTAAGAATTATTTACGACTGTACGTTTTAAAGTATTTGCATTTCCAGAAGTAGACTGTTCGAGATTTATATCAATACATTTGCTGTGTTCTAACTGAATTTCACGGATATACGAAAACCGATTAATACTAAAGGGAAAATTTCATTGGTGGATTAGAGGGATTGATTTATTGACTGGTGGTTTAGATTTATTAGATGAAATTTCTATTAGTAGCCGAACATGAAAGGAGTAATGTGTTTATTTGTCTACGATGCTTGAATAAATGATACGGGATTAATCTAATTATATCTGCATAAATTTCTTAATATTTTAATAAAATTGAAGATTTTAACAACTATAATTTTTCTATTTAATATTGCACAATTCTGTATTTAGTGAATATTTTACTATCTTCTTATTTTATATACGTACTAAAAAATGGTCAAATATATCACTGATCTTTAATGAAATTTTTAATAAAGATCTAATATCTTTTAATTTCTCATTGAATCTTTTACAAAAAACGCTATTGCCTTTCTTAATGTTTAACCTATGAATCGAGGAAAATGGATTAACTCATTTTTAATTTTATGGATTAACGCATTATTAATTTTATGAATATAACAATTTGTACATCTACAAATTTCTCGATTTTTTAAGTACAGTTTCATTTCTGTTAAGAATAAAGTATATCATCACATTTGTATATATCTATAAGGAATTGTAAACATCCAATAGACATTTTTTTTTCTAATTACGATATGTAAACAGGTTAATGAAAGAGTAGCTATGTATGCATATACATATTGTATCGTTAAAATTTTTTCATTATTAATTTTATTTTTATATTATTTGATGTTACTACTTCTTATAGTTAAAGAAAAATAATAAAACATTAATGTACTTACATTTATACACAAGGAAATGTTTTAAATACCAGCTTATAATCACTGAAATTCAAATTTCCTCGACTTAACATTTTGCGCCATATGCGCCGACTAACCAGGCGGGAAATTTAAATCCTTCAAATATACTAGAAAAATCATGCAATATTTATATTACACATAGACATAATAGAATAAATGTAAAAATAAAATAAATATTTATAATATAATAAAAATTCTATGATGTATGTTTTCTTTCTAGATATATGTTAAAAAAATAAAACGTAAGAACATCATGTTTGTAATAATTTTATATATTTGTAAATTAGTTATTAAAAAAATATAGAACTTTGGAAGTTTCTTGTATAATTTCTTATTTTTTCATTTATCTCTGTAAAAAATTATGTTTGTTTTAAATTAACAATTAAATAGGATTTCATTTAAAAGACCTTGGTATTTTCATACATTCAGTCAGAACAGTTCTACTTATAATTGGAACCGAAAATTCTAAGAAGAAAAGAATAATAAGGACTATATTATATCCTTATATATTTAAACAGTATGTATTTAATTGAAACAGCATACATTAATGATCCAGATTCAAAATTAATTATATTTAATTTAGTATTGTGCTTTCTAACCTGTATAACCTTAATTTGTTGATCTGTATGTAGGATATATTTAGAAAAGAAATAATGATACACTTTTCCAAAACGGACAAATACTTACAACTTGCAAAAGCAGGTACCAGTTATGCCAAACATATGAATCGTTTAAGTAATCGAATATTTGGCGAAGTAACAAGGACAACTAATAACAAATCTATGAAGGTAGTGAAATTATTTAGCGAAAAACCGGTAAACAAACGACCAGAAATTGTTGACTATTATCCACGGCACGTTGAAACTGATTTATTAATGAAACACCTAAGAGATTATGGATTATTTAGAGATGAACATGAAGATTTTAAAGAAGAATATCAACGCTTAAGAGAACTTCGTGGCAAAAAGAAATGGGTTCCACCAATGTTTAGAAATAAGCAAAACGCATGAATTTTTTTGTTTGTCTGAATTCAGTGTATTACACCAAACTGTATATTTTGTAAAAAAATTTCATATAATACATGTGTATATTTAAATACCAAGTATTATGTATAAATAAGAATGTAAAGATTCCAAAATACAAAATGAAAAAATAAGTATAGTCTCTTTGGATATGCTACAACAATATTAGAATAAGAAGCATTTATGTTTTCAAAACTAAATGGCAATAACTCAAAATCGTCTATTTCTATTTGATCCTCGTTTTGCTTTATTACAACTTCATGAATTTGTGGCCTATTGTATAATAATGATTTATTTTTAGCATTAATTTGTTTTTGCAAATTTCCTACAATTTGATTGTTATTTTGAAAACTTCCAATTTCTTTATATGTATAAATATTGTTACTTGGTTTTTTTGTTGTATTTGTGTAAGATGTTTCATAGTAGCCATCAAAGAAAGATGCATTTTTATTATGATTTTTAGAAACAGACTGATGTAATTTGATCCAAAAGTAAGTTGTATTCATAGTTTCTGTAGGTATTTCCTCATGTTGTATTATTTCAGATATATTATGTAAATGCACTTTTTTGCTTGGCCAATAATTTATTTCTTCTGTGTCTAATTGTAAAAGATCTGAATGATTCCATAAGCAACTATGTACATTAGTGTTTCCTTTAAATATACATTGTTTTTCACTTAATTTACTATTATTTTTCCATTCTTCTGTGTCTTTGTTATTAAAAACTAAGTTATTCATCCATATTCTAATTGTAAAAATTATGCATTATAATTTAATTTTCATATTTAAAACATTAAAAATTTTGTTAATTTTATTTTACCTGAATGCACCAAGGTCAATATATGTTGGAAGATCTCCACAGTCTAAAGAAAAATTTGTCCATGATGCGATTCCAACTAGAGCTATTTCATGATTTTGATTTTCACATATAACTGGAGAACCTGGATTACCAGCACAGGCTTTCATTTCATCCTTAAACTCAACCATTGCACAAAATACATTTGTATAATTTTTATTTGTTTTTAGCATATATGTACACATTTTCCAGGAATTAAGAATTACTTCATAATATTGAATTGGCTTAGCTAGGACCTTTGAAAACAATGAAACATAACTTTGCCATCCAAATATCAAACACAATTTGTAGTCATCATCATATCTGACAGACATAATATTAGGTAGAATTATTTTATTATGACACATGTCAAATGGCTTGATAAGCTTCAAAAGAGCTATATTATGATCTCGATCGGGAAGAATAGAATAAGCTTTGTAAGTGGGATATATATATGTAGCTTTTACAGGTAATGTTTGTTTAGAATTAGTTCCATTTAATCCAGTTGCAACTAAAGTAATAGACTGTAATTAAAATATAATAAAATTAAAATATGACTATACATATTCTTTCCTTAATGTTAGACAGAAAAAGGATCATACATTTCTCTTGTCATGAACACACTGAGCTGCGGTTAAAACCCAATCTGGTGAAAGAAGTACTCCACCACATGGTGCTACTGTTTGAAACTGTATCAACCAGGGAAATTGACCATCTTGAGCTCTTTTACCCTTTAATAGTATGCTTTTATACTCTTTTAAATTTATAAAAATCAGAAAAAACCAAATATAAAATAACATTTTCATTAAAATGAAATAAAAATGTGTACAAATTTGAAACATATTTTATCCTCATATAGCTATCTTCAAGTTAATGCTATAAAGTTAAAATAACTATACATGATTTTTACTGAATGTAAAATATTTATTAAAAAGTAAGTATATTAATAACTATGGTAATTAAGTAGTGGCAGTATTTATATTATTTATAGATTAGATACAAAAAGATATAGTTTAATGATAGTTTTAATTAGAAAGTACTGACTTCATAGAATATCAGGTAATATTATTTGACTTGCATTTTTTACGTTAGTATATCCAATCTCTATTCATTTTATCTTCTTGTTATGAATTAGAGAGTATTTCATTCATGAATTATGATAGTAATAATAATAATGTTTGATAGTATTAGTAATTTTTTTTTTATAATTTACAGTTCTTCTTTTACATTTTTCTCTTTATTTTCAATTTTTGCATCTTGCTTCTTCTTCTTTTTCTTTTTGACTTCATTACCAATATCACCTTTCTCTTTTAAACAAGAATCATCATCATCTTTCAATACTCTTTCTGAACATAAATACCTAGTGAGATAAAAATTATGTACTCGAATTAAATTCAATAAATAAAATTTCCATATGAAATGTTACAATAATGGTAGTCAGTACCTAGTTAATGGAATTGTTCCTTGATGATTATGATACCACTCTTCAATGTCAGATTCATGATTTTCAAGTAAATCTTCACATTGTGATTTTAAAGTAGTAATTTCAACAGATGGTTTATCCCATAATTCATATGGAATTCCTAGATCTACTTTAACTCCTTTATCCCTACATAAATGTAATATTATAATTACTTCTAGCATTACCTTTTTTAATTGAAGTATTCACTATTTCAATTGTAGCTTACGCAAGTCCATGAAGTGTTTTAAATGTTTGACTCATTCCTTTAGCAAACCGAGTACTATCTGTACGTTCCTTGTGAATGTTATATTCCAGTATACGTTCACAAAGATTTTCTGTACTTTCCACTAAACGTAATTCTCTAAACAAGAATAAAAGCGAAGTTTAAGTAAATAAAAATTTGTGAATAGACAGAGCTAAATTTTAAGAAACGTATTTAACATTTACGATTTTTTGTATTCCTTCTTTCTCTTGGGTGAAACATCATCAACAGAATACCCAATTTCAAGTACATCGCGTGTTTTGCCGGTTTCATCTAATTTAGCTTCTAATTCGGTGGCAACAACTTTGCAAACTATGACAAAACAGTGATGTGTTGTTTTTTCCGTACACTTCTAAAAAGTTATCAATGTGTACTGTATGTATATAGTTACCTTCGCATTTATTTGCATACTTAACACCTTGTTGTTCTTCTGGGCCACCACTTACAAGATACGAAAGTAACAAGTGCGTCAGAAATATTTGCGTTAAAATATGCATTATAAAATCATAAAATTATAGTACTCATTTAAAGGAACTGCATGGCCATGGAATGATTCGAATTACTCACACCTATGATACTTCTGGCTTACATCTACTCATATCTATACTTTTTCTTATTAGCATTATATCAAAAATGTATAAAAATTTTATGTGGCGTACACACAGAAAAAAATGTTAGCTGTATTTATAATCATGGAAACTTATCGGCTATCGTAAGCATTCTAAGAATCCTATTCTAACGATTACTTCAAGCTGATTTGAGTTACGTGTCCATAGAGCGTTGAAACACTACAGTGCGGGAAAAGTTGAAGATGACTAAACATTGAAGATGTATAGGTAGTGGTTACTAAAAAAACAACTGATTCAAAGCGTTCATTCTTTATGATTTGAAAAGTTTATTTTCTTTCTGTTCCAGAAGCTTTTTATATCTTCAAGGTTTTTATTTTGGATCCTTGCGGTATAATCGTAAGTTATATTGATTCCATCAATTGAAAATTTCCTTCCTGATTTTAATCCGTCATTGAAGATAAAAATATTCACGGTTGTATCTAATAACATTTAAATTAAATAATAAGAAGTTTGCAAATTATATTCCTTCTTAAAATTTAATCTCCCGCTTATTGCGTTATCCACATGAACATATTTTGTATTTTATGGTTGTGTAGAATAATTTTAAATTTGCTAATTTACATATTTACATATCACGTTATTAAAATAAATCAAATTTACGTACTAGCATAACAACACGTTTGAAAATAATATCAACAGTATAGACATATACCGAGAAAAAAATAGTTTTACTTATAATTAACTTCCGGTAATGGGTATTTAATAAATGGCGGTGAAAACAAATTAATGTTTTATCAAGATTTTCATCGATGCAATGAAAATATTTGAGTAAGTTATTTATAATATCATATATCGTACGTTGATAAGAACATGGAAATTGTTATTGGAGAACATGATAATTGTGCATATTATAAAATACAAAATATCATTCTTCATCAATTGACCGAGTTGATTTAATTTCGAAATTTTTTACAACATTTATTCTTATAGATTTTTGATAATTAAACACAATATCTTGCATGATGACTGCAAAAGTATATCAACCGGATCAAGAATTAGAAACGAAAGTTAAGAAAGGTTAGAATTCTGTGGTACCTTTGTCTGCAAATGCATTTAGATCATTACTGATCTTACTTTTTTTTAATCATTTTAGCAACTGAACGTATATCTGAGAATATGCACATAGTTGCAAATGAACCATCACTCGCATTTTATAGACTTCAGGAACATGTAAGAAAGGCATTGCCTCCTATGGTAGAGAAACGTGTAGAAGTACTTGCACTTCAACAGCAACTTTTAGGCAGATGTTACGATGTGGAATATGCCGTAAGTGCTATTAAAACAATGCACGGAGCTGGAAAAAGTTTTGAGAACACTTTAGAATTTATCAAGAATGCCATATTTTTCAAGCAACAATTGAAGTATGAAGAACAACGTAGGCACAAGAAAGATGGAAACAGAGATTCTGTGTACAAAAGACTGTCTGCACACATTCCTACCTTAGATCATTTACCTGATGAAATATCTGATGTTGTAAGGGAAACTGCTAACAGAGTTGAGTCTATGATGAATCATGCCAGATATTCCACTGAGATTCAAAAAACAAATTGAACTTAAAATAATAATTCAATGTATTAATATAGAATATATTGAAAAGTATAAATGTGGATATTGTAAATAATTGATTTTAATTATACACGATAAGTTTATTTATTGTTATAAGTTAAAAAGTTATATAAAAAAAGTATGTAATATAAAATACTCTTACATTTTGAAAAATTGAACATTTTTTGTATGTTTACAATATTATTTTATATGAAAAGCTAATTGTTTAGCCAAATTAAAAATTTAAGAGTTCAATGTTATTAAAGCTTTTCAAAGTTTAAAGAGGTGTACACTTGCTTATTAAATTATTTGAATGCTTATGCTTCAAACTGTTAACAAATAAAATTCACGCAGTCTTTACAATATTACAGCAAGTAGAAAATATAAGTTTTAAGAATGTGGGTAAAATTAGAAGAAAGTTTAATAATGTATACTAAATTAATAAAACATTAACATATCTTTTATTGGAGTCACAATAGTATCCAAATGTAAGAATTATTTTTATATTAATTTATCTTAATATCAAGGCCTGCTTTGGCATAAATTATTCGTAGCAGTATTCCATCTTTAATATATATATTTTTCATTTTATAGAATTCCAGTGGAACAGAAATTCTATAAAATGAAGATGAAAATTTTTAAGTTTTCTGTAGAAAAGTTCAATATGCAAAAAGCATTGTACAATAGTTGTTTCTAAACAAATATTTATATTATTTTATTGAAAATAAAAACTTTCAACAAACCAAAAACAAAACTTCTGATCTTCTCATACATCTCTATATACCACAACTGAGCCAAGCTACAACCATGTTTTCACAGTGGGAAGTAAACTTTATTTCTCTAATTGCACGTTTTTCTTTCTCCATATATGATGTTGTCCATCAGCACCAAAAAGCTTAAATTTATTATCGTCTGAGGAAATAACTTTGTCCCAGAACCTATTGTCTTTGTCAACAGAGTTTCTTGCCAAACCTAATCTTTTCTTCATGTTTGCCTTGTCAACATCTGACTTTTTTCGTGGTATTCTTCCATGATAATCATTGTTCCGTAAAATTCTACGACACAATTCGGCATGCACATCTTTCCCAAAGCTGACAGCAATTATCCCAGCAAGCTGCGGAGCAGAAATGCACGGGTTCTTCTTTATTTCTCTTATAACAAGCTTCTCCTCCTTGGAAGTTAATTTCTTTGGCCGTCCTGTTCGAGCATTGTTCAAGATGCTCCCCTCGTTCTTTGACTTTTTAATTATATAATGTACAGTCGATTTGCTCCTGTTTATGTGTTTTGCAATTTCCTGATAAGATTTTCCTTCCTCATGTAGCTTCACCACCAACTCGCGCTCACTCTTACTGGTTTCCGACTTCTTCATAGACTTTCTTGTAGCCATATTCCAAAAAAATTTACGAGACTATTATTCTCCATGAAACTCTTGTATCTTAACTATCGACTGAAATGCAACAATTACGTTAGATGAAATGTTTACTTTAGTTTCTGCGCGTGTTCAAATACTTTTGTGATCCCCGTAAGCGTATGCTTACATTTCTTGTTGCATTACAGTAATCCAAAAAGATTTATTATCAGATTTGCCTTTAATTTTATTCATATATTCTCCAAGACTTGTATCCTCTGTACACGCAGCCTAATATTACAAATCTAATCTTACGTTTACAAGTTTCTTGGTTATTTAGAGCGTGAGCGTTCGGATACTTTTATGAGCAATTCTACGCAACAAGAGATGCAAATTTTGCTGATGTTTGTGTTTGTAATCTCATTAGCCGTGTGCAAAAATGTCAATGTCTATTGGGATGTTTTTCCTTCTCGAATCGCTCTGTTGTTCGCTAATTTTGCGCGGGAGAATAATCCTGTGCACTCAAGTAATATGCATGACATCGTTGTAACTTTCCGGCGCTTTCTCATGTAGCAACTGCCGCAAATCATTTCCGATTGGCCGTATCGTTGAAAGTGAGACAAAGTCAAGTAAGTTTAAAGAAGAGGAAACTAGACAAATAGTGTCTTTTTTAAATCAATAATAGATATGTGAGAAATATTGGGAACGCAGTAAAAAGTTTGCTTTTCCTTTTAAAATAAAGATCAAACGTAATTCGAATATCGACTTGATCAATGTCGATAATTATCGATTAGTATCGAAACGTGTATACTGGTTTGAAAGCTATTGAGAGACCGCCAAGTTCAGTAGATTACCTACCGTTAAATACACGTGAAGAAATTGTAGTTAAATCCAGAGAACCCCAAATATGTTTCTCTCGATATTTTCTATTTTATTTTGTTTAATATCGAGCGCCTCGGTGCACAGATTAAATGTTCCTAGAGTTTTATTGCCGGTATTTAATAATTTTGCTGTAAATTTCACACTTGAAGTTACTGATGGTGCTTGCTACAAATGGTAACTATCATTTCTTTTACAATGTAACTCTGTTCTCTTATTTGTTTATTTCCAATTCAATCTTTTCATTCATGAGTTTGATGTTTTATTATTTTTCATAAATCAGTTCTTGGAATTATATTTTTCATGTTTTATTCCCTGTTTTTATTCTAGTACTACAATTTTGTTGTAATGTTGTTCTTGAAATAAAACGTTTATTTAACAACAGGTCAACATCACGGTTAGATATTATTCAGCTGATTCCCATAAATGAAAATGTTGAAAGGACTTGTTCTTCTGCTATATTGATTCAAACAATAACAAGAGAGTCCACTAGAAACACTGCCATAGTATTGGCAGAAGATGCTAACAACGGACAGTTCTTAAGATGTGATGTTATAGTTGATGTAATTTTTTCTTTAAATCTTGTAACAACTACAAGAGAATTGTACATTGAAGAAGCACCAGAAGCATTCGAAGTACGTGCTTACGATGAACAAGGTAAGAATCTTCAACGAAACTTTGTTATTTTGTACTATGTTATTTTAATTTGTAATTTTTGAAGTTTAAAGCTTAAACTTTTAAAATGTACTTTTGCAGGAAATGAATTTACAACTCTTGCTGGAGTAGAATTTCTTTGGAACATAGACAATGCTGATAAGTATATGCCAGATTCTAAAGCACCAAATGCTATTTTAAGATTTATGACTTATTTGGAATCGCAATATGAAACTCCACCAACAGTTGCTGCATTAGATGCAATTGGTAAGAAAGGTCATATTGTGTTACTGGAAGGAATAAAAACTGGTACAGCAAAGGTATTGATATATTCCATATATTGCGTATTGTATTTTCAAGTATAATTTTTTACAGAATAAAATACTCGTTGCAGGTTTCTGTGAAATTACCTTATCCAGAATATAAACACGTTCCATCAATAGAAGTTGAATTAATTGTAATAGCTAATTTAATTATTATTCCATCAGACACAACAGTTATGGCATATGATAGTTTCAAGTATAAAATAATGCAAGTAAGTATATTATTATTCGTATATTTTAAAGTTGAATGAATTAAATTTCTAATTATCTATTTATAGGTTCGTCAAGGTCGTTTAGAAGAAATAAGTTTGCCATCTAGCCAATACTATCTAGAAGCAGAAAATCCTAACATATTAGAAATTGATAATGATCGTGATTTTGCGTACGCTAAATCTTTAGGACGTACTAAAGTATTCTTACATGACAAAAATGTACGTGATGAATATCCCGTTATTTTGCCATCTGCTACAGTTAATGTAAATGATGTAGCGTATATAATGCTTGCTGTTTTACCCAATAGAAATTGGGGTTTAGTACTTGGTCATACTCATGAAATTGTTGTTGAATTATATGACAACAAAGATCATAAATTTCACATTGGAGAAGGTGTTGAGGTGTTAGTGAAATTAAATGAACTCTACTTTGAACCAAAATTGATAACGCAAAACGGTACATATATTGTTGGTGTACCCGTTACATGCGGAACAATGACTGTTGAGGCTACCCTTTATGGCATAATTGATAAACACGGTAAAAAAATCTCTCTTGCTTCGCATCCTACTACAAGAGCTGAACTTCTGATTCATACTCCTGTTACTATACGACCTAAAGTATTGGCAGTTCCGTGGGATTTTAAAGCTAAATCAAGGTTATTTACACATTTGCATTTAGGGTTATTATTTACTCTTTTTTTTTAACAATAGTATTTTTGTCAAATTTTATTTTATTTTTATAGATATGATATTGTATTAAAAGCAAGTGGAGGAGATGGATCATATGTATGGTCAAGCAAACATCCTTCTATAGCAACAATTTCTCAAAATGGAGGAATGAGGATTTTAGCAGCTGGTGTAACAGAAATAAATGTCGCTATGACACGAAATCAATATAATAAAGATACTGCAAGAGTATATGTATTACCACCATCAAAAGTAAAAATAATTGAGTACAGTATGGAAGCTGCTGTAGGAGAACAAATTTTTCTTCACATTGCATTATATGGAAGATTAATTAATGGAACAGATTCTAAAGAAATTCCTTTCAATGACTGCAGAGATATTAATTTTGAAATCTACATTCCAGATGGCAACTTTGTACAAAACAATAGTAGTGCCATAGAACCTGCCATAGGTATTGCATGTGCAGTTATAGCAATTACTAGTGTAGATATCGGAACATCCGAAGTAACAGTAGCATATAATGCAAATGGTCAATATTTGACTGATAATGTTACTGTGTCGGCCTATGAACCTTTAATAGCAATACATCCAAGTAGTAAGGAAACTTTATTAACAGTGGGTTCATCAAGAAAAATAGTTTTTAGAGGCGGACCCCATCCATGGTCTAACAAGCCTCAAAGTTATTCACGAAAAATTCAAGTATCTGAGAAAAAAATTGTTGATGTAATAGAATATTCTGATTCTTCAGCTGGATTATACGATATATCCATTTTTGAAGTAATGTGTCGTAGCCTTGGAGAAGTAGATGTAACATATACGATTTCAAATATTCCTCTACTGCCAAATTGTAAAAGTACATATGCATTTGAAACGGTTAAAGTGATTTGTGGCAAACCCAGACATATTTATCTTCAACCTGAATTTAAAGATAGTAAGAATTGTCCTATTAGCAATATTAATACAGAAAGAATAATGGCACATAGCGACAAAAATTTGAAGCTTATTACAGTGATAAAAGACGAGGAAGATAGAACATTTGATAATATAACGAGTTTACGCATTGAATGGAATTTGAAACCCTCGACTATAGGTTTCATAGAAATGCCTTCTGGTTCTATAGAGGAAACAATTATAGATATGAATGTTATTTTACCAAAAAAATACTATCAAAATGTCATCTTTAAAAAACATTCTGGTACTCTTGCATTAACAGCTACAGTTACAGGTTATCAAAAATATATATTGAGTAAACTAAAAATAATACCAGAATGGCCACCATTCGCAATTGAAACTGAAAGAAAAATATATGAAACGCCTCTTATAGAAACTTCTGTGGAAATAGTTTTAGTCAATGATACATCTGTTACTCCTGATAAATTAATGGTATTAAATGATCCTACCGCAAAATATTACTTACAAGTGAGCCAAGGTTCCGGATATTATGAATTTGTATTGAGTTCAGATGATATTGCAGAAGTTCGATATATAGAGTCAACAAAAGCAATTAGCTTTACTCCAAAAAAATCTGGAATACTTCATTTGTCATTAGTAGATCTTTGTTTGCCTTCAAAGCCAGCTGAAGTTATAATTGAAATACAACAACTTGCTATAATAGAAATAGAAACAGTGAATAAAATTGAAAAAGGAAAGTGCATAGTAGCTGCATTAAAACTTTACGACACAAATGGCCATGCTATAAAACTACCATCTCTAAATGCTCTAGAATTTAAAGCAGAAATCGATAACGAATGCATAGAAGTTAAACAATTACCTGTTAATGAACACGGTAATCCTCCTTATAATCAATTGTTATATATGATATATGGAATGGCAGAAGGAGAGTCTCAGCTAATTTTTGTCAGTAAAGGCGGTGAAAAAGAGATACAGAGTGAATCAGCAACTATTCAAGTCTTTCTTCCTTTAACAGTTTCTCCGAAAAATTTAACAATATTGGTAGGAACTGTTTATCAAGTACAAACAACAGGAGGACCATCAAATGCAGAAATTGAATTCTCTACAGAAAATAATGATATTCTAAATATTGACCATAATGGTATATTCGAAGGAAAATTAGTTGGGCAAATAAAAATTATTGTTAGAGCTATTGGTCTTAATGCTAAAGGCAACAAAGTTATTTATTCTGAAGACTACGCTGATATACATGTATTGCATCTTGAAGGAGTTAAAATTGTTGTACCAACAAGTAGAGTTAAAGTGGGTGCAATATTTCCACTTTGGGCCTTTGGTATCCCAGAACATTTAACTCCTCTTATAATAGGTTCTATGCAATTACCATTGACTTTTATGTGGTCATCTAGTGATTCTAATTTAGTGACATTGCATAATATGTATGAAGGCACTGGTATTAATATCAGATACCAAAATGAGGTATCTTTGAGAGCCAAAGCAGTTGGCCCTGGATTAGCAACTATTTATTTAAATGTTACAATGCCATCTAATATATTAACTGGTTTTAAAGGAGATGTAACATATACTACATTTGTGAAAGTTGAAATTTTTGAGGAATTACGTTTAATGCATTTGGGACTACCTTTGAATGCACCAGTAATACTAATGTCTCCAAATTCTGTCCTGAAATTAGAAACAAATCGTGACAAGCATGGTTCAACTATTTATAAAGTATTATCCACTATACATGGAAATGATTCAATGGATTTACAAGCTTTAACACTTGCGTCTAAAACTGTTACTATTGATAAAAATGGCATCATAAAAGCCGGTGAAACTATTGGAAAAATAATCATTTCTATTACAAACACTGAAGCATATAATTTGAAACAATCACTAACAATTGTTGTTGAAGTAAGATATTATATTACTAAGGCATTAAACCTGAAGTTTATATCTTAATTATTTTGTTTTTCAGGTCAAACCTATTCATTATATGATGTTATCTTTAAAATCAATTTTACGAATTCGAAATGGAGAAGAATTGAATATGTTACCCAAAGGTATGGAATTGGACTATGCCCTCGAATATTATGACAATATTGGAACAAAGTTTCATGCCATTAAGGTTGATGCTAAAACTGTATTAAATCGAGTGGATCTTGTATCATTTACTGAAAATTCTGAAAATATAGTTACTGCAAAATTTATTGAGAATGGAGATCTTGTTGTAAAAGCATACAATGAAAAATATCCTAATGCAATGTTTGATTATGTACATATGATGATTGGTGATATAGTTTTTCCTACAAAGGTAATTTATATGTTCATTTGTGTACAAATATAAATTTTTATATGTTATATATCATTTAAATTTATAATTTATTACAGACTACACTAACAGTGGGTGACATAGTGTGCTTTTCAATGCCACTTCTATCTTTTGACGGCGATCCAGGTTATTGGCAATCTTCTGCCCCTGAGATATTAACTGTAGATCCTATTACAGGAATAGGTCGAGCAAAAAACATCGGTTATGCAGTAGTAAAACATAGTCTTGCAACTCATATGCAAGGTGAAATTGAAGTTCATATTCAACCTATTGCAAAGGTACTGTATTTTACGATTCACTTGAAGTTATTAATCATCAATATTTTCTCAAATTGTATGTGATATTATCTTGTAAATACAGGTATCAATTGTGCCATTAAGAACCCGAAATATTACTGGAACTGAAATTTTTAGTGTTCCTGTTGTACTTAAGAGTAAAGATGAGCAAGTTAAAGAAAATAATATCCTGTCTAGAGGTTTAGGTGGTTGTAGAACATTCAGTTCATTTACTTTAAATTCATTTCCTTACACATGTAATGTACAGTTCGTTACGTCAACCTCATCTATCGGAGTAAAAGATCTGTTTCTTGTTAAACCGCGGTTTGATATTGCAACTGGTATGTTCAATTTAATCTCTTACTATAATGAAATTTACTATTTATTTAACTACATATAAATTGTTTATTGTAGGTTTTTATTATTGTGATATACTTCCAATGGGTTCTCCAAATATAATTTCTAGTACATTAGAAAGTCGTATTCAAATAAGTGCACAAAGTAAAGATATTGAAGCTTTGCCTTTAGAAATTATGTATCTACCCCCTGTCTACGTTGACGCTAAGGAAATTATTTTTATTAATACTCATTCTCAGAACATTCCAACAGCAACATTTGAAATATATGGATTGCAATCTATATTAAATCATCTTACTGTAAGTTTAATTTTTTATATAAGTTGAAGTAAATTTTAAAACATAGTTTATTTCATTTATAACGAATTTCTATAGATTGATGTACCAGATGGAATAACTATAAGTGCTCGGCAGTATATTTCAAAATCTACAATACAATATAAACTTCGTTTGATGCACAATCAGGAAGAGATCCAAGGCCAAAAAGTTATTATTGCAAATGATATTACGAAGCAGAATATATCCGTGAGTAAACAAAAGATAATTATGAAACTTGTAATTTATTACAAATGATACTTTACTTTTTCTTGTAGCTTTTCGTACGTGTAACAAAATATGAAAATTTCATACCATTATCTGGAATCCACTGGGTTGATTATATGTATTTCCATCGTTATACATTTGGAACATTTGCTGTTGTTGTAATTACTTTCTTTTATAGTGAGTCTCTTTTAGTACTTTACACTATTATTAATTTATCGAATGAATATTTTATTATATTATATCGAATCTATTTTGTTTTACAGTATGGAAGAATAAAATGGCAAGTATCGACTTGAACATAAAAAATAGAGGAGTTTTTGGTACGTATACTACTTCTGACTATAATTTTTGTTCAAGTTTATAATGAATACGTTATAATAACATAATAAACAAACTAAAATTCATTTTTTATAGCTGATAAGTGCCCTCCTCAATTGAAAAAAACTAGTACACCCTGTTCACCTCCGTTAAATAGTACAACTATGTCAACTCCAAGGACTCCAGTTACGCCGACAAGATTTTCATTTTCTGCATTTGATCCAGTTTATGGTGATCCTCGTGGTCTCTACTCAACAAGTAAACGAAACAGATCATTGAATACCTAGAAAGACATAATAAAAATAAATAGTTTCAATTTAAGGATACATTGTACAGTGTACTTACAATTTTAATTATACTTACTTTTAAAGAAACATTCGACTGTCAAACTAGTGCCTTATTGTCGTAATTTCTAATTCTTTTATAATTTATATTGTAAGATTAATTATTCTTTATATTATTTATGTCTAATAGTAATACAGAAAACTGAGTGTATAACTAAGTATGTTTGTACATTCATAACTGACTAGCGTTATGTACATTTTGTAATTTAATATTAAATAATACATATGTAAGGAAGTGTACATATTGTAATATACAATTTAAATTACATAATTGTATTATATACAATTATATATAATTTAAATTACATAATTATATACGTAGAATTTTTAGTAATTTAATTTCTTCAACCCAACAGTATTTCTCCATACGAGATCGAATAGCCGGATAACTCTATCCAGTTTCAGTCTATAAGCTGAATTTTCAAACAGCCCAAGAATTAGTTAAATTCTCTCGCTCCCGGGAACTGACCCTGCACAATTTAATTCTGATTTTTTACGTTAATTAATTACAAACAATTGCATAGTAAAAAATACTTTGTTTTAAACATGCCGCCATTGAGAGTAGCGTCATCTATCGACAAAGTACTGGTACTAAATTTGTTTTTAAACATTCATTCCCATAGTTTTCGAAGTCAAATAGGACATAATATTAACGCTACGAATCTAATTAAAACGATATAATCACAGAAGTTTTCAAATTATCTCTAAAATTAATTTTTCTTTCGCAAATGAAAATATATTATTTGTGGACATTGAAACACTAGCGGCAGAAAGCGCAAGCTGATAAGCTCTAGCGTTTCGTTACTAGTGTTTTAATATCTACTAAATTTTCTTTCACTTATAAAAAAAAAAAAACTGATTAGGAGGGTTGACTTGTGAATTTTTGCTATAACATTTTACGAATTACGATTCTCAACGTTCTTCCTGCATTCCAGTTAACTTACGCAATGCGAAAGAATTATCAAATAGACCGGAACGCTCGTTTGACATAAAGCGATTAATTTCACCACGAGTTGAAAGAATTTTATGAAATGCATTTGAAGAATAAATTTACACGTATTCTTTGATTATACCTTTTTAAAAAAAATCCTAAGCTTTTTCTTTACCGATTTTGTGGAATATATTTTGTAATTATAGTTAAATACATACTATTGTTATTTGTCGAAAAATTATCATGATCGGCTACTTTATCTTGTGTCGTTTTGTATCATTCAGATTTATTTATTGCATAAAATATAGAAATACGAAAAAAAACGTGTTTTGGTGAAGGGATTGATCATAGCAAGATGGATTTCTTCTCTTCTGTTTTAACAATGTATTTTCTTCGTTAACAGATCCGAACAGATTTTCACTATGTACAAAAGCATTTATTCATACACAAACAAGTTTCGTAAATGTTAGAAAAGAAAATATAGATATATGGTCTAAATTTTTAATTATTTCTTGTACGCCTGTACATTTCTGATTACAGTAGTTATGCAGCTAAATTAGAAAAACCAGCACATAGAACTTTCTCAGTTCAAATGATATTGTATTCTACATTAGTGATATTGAAATTATGCAATGTTACTTACATAAAATGTTTATAATCTTTCTCAATTCTCGCTTGCTCTCGCCTGTCCTTTTCTTTCGTTTTAACAACTGAAAACAACATTTTACAGATTGTTTTGTACTATACGTTTTCTCACATTTAGTTCATGATTTTGTTCTAATCAGTTTCTTATATTTCATATAAGCAATATAGTATGTGTAACTAATTTCTCCAGTATTCAGATTAATTTCTCTAAAACCATCAAAGATACCATAAATTTCTAAATTTTTTATATTGATCATTGATCACTATGTTTCGAAACATGTAAATATATATTTATTTAGCTAACATTTATTTACTTTGATATTTCATAGGTCCCACTTTTATAATACATAAGTAGATTACAAAAAAGTTGTTACAGGAATTCTTTTTAATACAATAAAATAGTTGTAATTTTCTTAAATCGTCTTTTAGAATCTTGTCCATGTATTCAGAAAATACTCCAGAGGAAATAATTCTTGATATTCTCAATGGTTTTAGAAAGATTGTTTATAATGTTTTATATAAATTTAGTTGTTCCCACTGTAACTAAATGTTAAGAAAATTTTCTTCTGTATATGGTTAATATCTTATTCGTATATTGACAGTATAATCACATTGATTTCAAGATAAAGTAATTAAGAACAATAGAACAATATTTGATCATAAGTGTTGTAGAACACTTTAATTTTTACGTTATAGCTATCTGACAAGCATTTCATAAAAAAAATATATTAATGGATAAATGAATAAGATTGCTATGAAATGAAAATTCGGCAATTTGCTGTACAAGATAGGAAATGATGTTTGGTATAATTAAGAATAAGATTGTTAACATAAAAAACAAATTAAAAAATACCAACTGAAATTGTTTATTATACAAGATTAAAAAAAACTTCATTTTTTGAAATTATTAAGTACACCAATAATTTATCACTATAAACTTATATTGTGATCATGATTTTGTACATATATGAAATCTTGTATAAAAACAAAATTAATCTGCATTTTTGTTTTATTTGTAAAAAATTCTAATTTTCAGCATTTCCATAAATTACTTCATATAACTTTTTTCATTTTGATTATTTGCTTCAGGTAATAGAATTTATTACCAAGCAAAAAATAAAATATATTTTTAACATATTTTTCAAGGAACATAATAAAATCATTGTATATATGTATATATAAAAAATAATAAAATAATTTTACTATAATAATTATTTCATTCATTGTTTCATTAACAAATATTAATTATAATAAAATTCAATGATGGAAAAAATGTCTTTCTAAAAAAATATTTCTCATACGACTTTAAAATTAAATTAAAATTTTTTTAAACAATTGAAATACTAATATTAGCAACGTCTCGTATTGAAACTACAGTTTTTAACTACTTGTAAATTAAATCTGTGATTTTGAACACTTATTTGAACTTCTTTTAGTGATTACAATAATTTGTACCATTTTAAATCTGCAATTGAATTACTCTAACTCAATATAATTATTTCATTTATACTATGTAGATTTCATAAATTTATTGTGCTTGTAAAGAAATAGAAACGTCTTTGCGTTTCATGTCTAATTAAAACTGATTGTTCCATTGAAGAAAGTCATTACGATACAATATCGAGTATCTGTATAGTTCCTAATAGTGATACTCTGTAACAAGTTGTTTAAAGATAGTTACATCATATCATTAGTATATTCTTACACTAGACATGTGTTTTTCTTTCAACAATCTCATAGATGTAACACAACTAGTGGTTCATAAACTTTTTAATTTTGTAATTAATCAAGACAAATCTTCACAGCATTTTTATAACTTCTATTTAAATAATTACAAAACAATATTCTATTACGTTAGTAAAATATTGCTCACAATCAGTCAAATTTGCTGACTCTTATTAGATTATTATCACAAACGTTACATTATGAAATTGTTGGATAATGATCCCTATTACCATTTTGTACAATAAAAGTACTCCTTTATCGCTTCAAATGAAACGTAAATTTATCAAGCTTTGCTTTCTGTAAATATATAAAAGGATTAAGAAACGTAATTTTAATGATTGTAATATTTAGCACATGATGAAATCATGTTGTAACTTACGTATGTTTTATATCTTATCTTAAAACAAAAATATGCTTAGAGCCTGAAACATGTGTTTCATTTATTAATTTTACATAAACTTTTGGTTTCAGTTCAGTCTTATTGATAAAAATATGATACATGTAGAAAGTATACTATCGAGACAGAAACAATTTGTTTGATTAACTCTTTATTTTTGTTTTTCTTTTTTTTATTAGTGGGTGCACAAGCAGCCCTCCATAACGAAGTTTTGATGTCAATATAGACTTTAAAAATCTGTTTTCTTAAATCACTGAAAATATGGAAGCTGCAAGCATTCCATTGAAGTGAATATTGTGTTTGAGAATATGTTTCAAAGAGAGTTTGCCTTTCCGTTCTTTTGTACCTTAATTACAATAAAAAGATTAAAAAAAAGAGAAAAAAAAAAAGAACAGAAATTACAAGAGCATAATACTTAAATCTAAAACAATTGGAATTGGTATTTTCTAATATATAACAGAATGTATAAATAACATAAGAAATATTTTACAAAGTCTTACATAAGAAACACGACTTCGAAAATCGTGATAATTATAAACATGATCAAAGAATAAATTTTCTGCATATTAGGAAAATATACATCCATATTTAGTACAAAGTAATCGTCTTGTGTCTAAATAAAAATGATTGGGGTTTTAAACTGAATTATAAACTACACAAAGCTAATGGAAGAATATAAAAGAATAGTTTAATAAAAATGACTTCATCTTTAGAAAGGCAAAGTCTTGTAAAACGTATGTATTACTTATATAATGCTCATCGATCGGCGGTAGCGTTTTCTAGTATTAGTTATAACAACAGGAACCGATACAGGAGCGGGAGGAGTTACGGGTGTAACAGGGGTTATCGGTGTAAGAGGAGTTAAGGGAGTTTCAGCCATTTGGACTGAAGAGGGGGGCCTGAGCTACCAAATGTAGTTTTCGGTTTGAGGGGCCCGCATTACTCCCACACCTCCACCGAGTCTTCTATAATTCATACAACCACATAGTTTCCATTGATTTTGTTCCGAATCGTACACTTCGATTGTTTTTAAATAGGCAGTTCCATCAAATCCACCCACCGCATACAATAAACCATTCACTACTGCTAAACCCACCTAAAAATATAACGGAGTTTATTAGTGGAATTCGTGCGGTCTCTCTTCACAAATAAAATATTTTTTCTATTCTTGATAGAATAATTTTAAGATATATCGTAAACATTAAGGGGACTTACTCCGCTTCTTCTCGATGTCATAGCAACTATTGGACTCCAAGAATTTGTATGAGGGTTATACCGTTCTGCACTCGAAAGTTCCATGCAATCATCTCGTCCTCCAACGGCATAAATTAGATTATTAAATACCGCACAGCCTAAATGCTTACGTCTTGTAGACATAGGTGATACTTGAGACCATTTGTTTTGCCTCGGATCGTATCTTTCTACTGTATTTAAAGGCGACTGTCCATCAGACCCGCCGATGGCATATAAATAACCGCCTAGCACAGCAACAGCTACTCCAAGTCTTCTAGTGGTCATTGGTGATACTTTGGACCATTTATTTTCCTTAGGATCATATCTGTACAGAATAAATTTGTTCTTTCATATATATTGTTATTTCATATATATGTAATTAGCGAAAGAGATTCTGAATAATTGAATTTGATTTTAGCTAAATGGCAATAGAATAATTTACCTTTCAACGTGATTTAAACATTGGACGCCATCCTGACCACCTACCGCGTAAAGAAAACCATCCAATACCGCAACACCTACGCTAGTTCGACATGATGTGGTAGGTGCAACGTCACAGGACCACTGATTCGTTTGTGGATCATATCGTTCGATACTATTTAAGTAACTTTGTCCGTCATGACCACCTACTGCGTATAACAAATCGTTCAGTACGGCCACTCCAACACCACACCTTCGTTTGCTCATTGGTGCGACCATTTTCCAATCCGCAGTGTTAGGATCGAATCTTTCCACGCTAGCGATCGCATCACCAGAACACCATCCCCCGACAGCAAAAAGAACTTCACCGCGTCTGGTTGGTTTTCTAGGTCGTGTTCTAGGTCCTTGCATCAGCGGTCTTTCTTGAGGAAGTAGTAAATAATTTTTTGCTTCGTCTACTAAGTCTCTGCATGCATCATCGGATCTAACTAAAAGGTCAGAACCTACGGTTCCGACTAAAAATTTTGGGCTAAGGAGGGGTAGTCGTACGTGTTGAAGAACTTGTGCCAAATGTTGCCTTCTCTCAGTGACGTTATATTTTACCCAATTCATAACTGCATTGAATACCTGTTCTTCTGTTCGAACATTTAACTCATCCGAAGAAATAATATCTACTAATTGGCCAACAGGTAACAAAAGAAATTCTTCGCTTTCCATTACCTAGAAACAATGATACAAACGGCTACTGCAAATTTAATTATTGGATACATATCAGAGAACGAAGGGCACATACTTCTTGAAAATTGTGCTGCGTAAATTTGTCCGCGATTCGTAGAAGTTCACGACAAGAATGAGTATCTGCAAACGCCCGTATACCTAGACAATTTGACGGATCTAGCTGACGTTTGAGAAACTCGCAACAGATATCTTGAATCTCTGTTAGCTGGAGAAGGCACGCTGCTGGTAGGAGAGTTTGAACGTTCGCTTCCTCGACGATGATGTGAGAAGTGTAACAGAAGTCTATCAGTAGTTCCATCGCCATTTCATCTATGTCACGTATCGTGACTTCAGTTTGTCGAGATTCCGCCAGCTCCCCAGTAAACATCGCTCTACAAAAAAAAAATGAATTTAGTGAATTTAAATCCCTGCAGATTCGATTGTAGCAACAACGATTGTAGTACCTTACCGGAAGTACGGACTACACGCCGATAAAATAACGCGATGTGCGAATATCTTTCTAGAGCTGACATTGAGAACAACGTCGCACAGTTCCCGATGACGACGAAGAACATTGAGTTCGGTGAGTGTAGCACGAGGATGTTTCTCTGATGTGTGACTAAGGCGGGCTGGGGAAGGTGCGCGTTCTACGACCATCTCACCCATCCTCTGCGAGGATGGGGCGCCCGCGGCTGCTCTCCCCGAGGCGCCCCTAGACCCCCCTAGCTGGAGGCGCAGCGGGGGTGACGCCCAACCCCACACCGAGTCTATCTGCAACACCATTCACCAACCACCACAGCTCTCGAACGTGCCCGTACCAGGCCCCCTGATCTTCTCAAATCCCTAAAATCAGAATATTTCTCTTATCTTTCTGAGCAATTTATCTGACCTCTGATTCTCAGAGTGATTTTATTTTATAAAATGTATCACACTTGACAAATTCGTATGACTCTTATATTAGGAGTTATTATATGATAAAGAACATTCTATTTTCCTAGATGAACTAACTGACTGAGAACTAGCTGACAGAAGAAGTATTTATAACTTAGTTGTTATGGTGTCTGAACTATTTGTAACATTATTGTTAAAATATTATAACAGTAACGTTATAAGCAAATTTCTCTTGAAATTCTTTTGACATAAATTTGAGAGAATCTAATTACAAAATTTTAAATACATGATAGTAGAAAGAACTGTACAGAATCTTAATAAGTCCTATACAAGTATATAAATGGACAAGAAATTATATTGTAAAGAGATATAAATAAGAATTAAAAATGTCTTTTATTCGTTAATTAATGAAAATTCTAAAATAAGCCAAACCATTTCTAAAAAATGAAGCACTTTTATAGCAATTATAACTATTCTAGTATGATTATTGTTAATGTCTAAAGTAATGTTCATAATATATTATAAAGTTATCTTCTAAGGAAGAATACAAATTTTTCAAAACAATTTTTCTTCTACTTAATGATAATTATACGTATTTAAGTTTCTTGACATAAATTATTTAATTAAATCTTCTTATTTTTCCTGTGTTAAGTATATATAAACATGTAGTTATCTTACTTGATCTTTTCATGTATTTAAATTTTTAATGAAACTATGACACATTAAAAGATTATAAAAGTACTTTGTACACTGTACAATGTCTATGCACACATACCACATTCAAACTATAAATTTTTAAAAAATGTTTAAAAAATAATCGTAATGCAAGAAATACGTTTCTAAAAATATTATCGAACCTTCAATAGAATTTTAATCCCAAAAGTAATGTTGAAACAACACTGACAGAAATCTATTACAGCAATGTTCTAACAGAAAAGTACATCTTTTTAATTTGAATGCAGTGAATACTACCATTGCCAAAAATTCGACTCTTGTTGAGATGAAATTAATTGAATCTTTCTTTCTGACAAATGAAATGATCCCTGATACATTTTCAAAATACAATTTGAAAAACGTTGGAATTCAGAATGTGACAAAGGTATAAGTCACGAGCGTAATTTTACACGTTGAACGAATAATACATAATTTTTACGTGACAGTTACTCTGTAAATAAATCTTGACGTGGATGGATTGTGTAAAAGTGTTTTTGAAGAATTCGACAAAGTCAGAGGCGTGAGAAAACGACAGTAGAAACGGCACTGACACTCACTGTATGATGAATACGAAGATTTCTGACGTATGATTAAGAAACTCGATTGGATTTCTACACAGTTTGGCTAGTTTCCCAGCTAACAAGCGATAAACAAAAATTTGATCACCGCGTTCCAGCTTCGTTTCTTCGCGATACGGTTAAAACAATAGCATGATGTTGGATGTCGAATCAGCGTTGCGCATGAAAACCGTGCCACAGTTGAGAATCCAGTTCACCAAATTTCCATGGATGATATCACGAGGGTACTTTCATTTCGATCTTATCATATCTTTGCTTGCGATGCATAATGCACCAAATACTGATTCCCTTCGTTTCTGAACCGAATCCCCAGGGTTACGCTCGCGTTGTGCCATTGATCGAGGACAGAGTAGACGGTGACATTACGCCAGATTTTGTGTCCCACGTCCTGAAATACCGACCTCGAAAAATACGAGGACGCCCTCTGCGATCTGCTCTGGCCACAAACAAGATATATATCTTGACAAGTGTAAGAATTGTAATTCAATTGTAAATCAATTTAATCGTTAAAGATGGCGAAGTTATTCATTTTATAAAGTTATTATAAAATAATTCATGGAGTTTCATTGGAATGGCGATTGTGAATAATATCTAAAACAGAAAAGTTTAGTTAGTAAAATGATTTACATGTGGAATCGTTTGAAGTGTACATACATACATATTGTGTATTTTGTTATATACCACAAAATTAAACAACTTAAATTCATTAAATGAATATGAATTTGCAGTGTCAATAAAACGGAAATTAGTTATTGCGATTCTCGAATTTAATCAAATATGGTAGTCATTTCACTTTATTAATTGAACAGTATCTAAAATAGAGAAATCACTTTAATCGGTAAAATCATATATAATCGTTTTGAAATATTATTTTATTACATATTGATCAAATTAAACAACTTAATTCATTAAATAAATATAAAGATTGCAGCGCCAACGAAACGGTGAAATATGGAAGTTAGTTATTGTGATTCTCGATTGGAATCGATATTTCTCGTAATCAATCTATAACATTGGAATAGCGAACATATGACGTAAAGTATCAGTTTTAGGCGGGAATCAGCACGAAGAAGTATTATTCAGAAATTGTCAGGTAAAACACTGCCGTCCTTAGTTTTTAAACTTATTTTTGTATCGTCAATGACAGTGGTGAACATTATTTAAAAGTATTATTTGTATTTACTCCAATTTTTGGTTAAAATCGTTGGTTAAACATAAATGTATGCACGTACGTATTTGTATGTATTTTCTATAGTGGTTTTCAGTCAAATGAAATTTTTTAATTAATAAAACTATTGTTATTCTATTGTTATTGTATAACTATTAAAGTTGTTTATCCATAAATATCATCTCTTTTCTAGACCGAATCCTGTTCGTCCAAATCCCAACCTCACTAAATTAATTCGCGACGTGAATCTGTTACACGAATGATTAGTCCAATATTGAATATCGCAGTGTTGAGTGTCATTCACGTATGTATAATAATTCGTCGTACGTAAAAATAAATGAAACAATCTCAGGATTGTTAAAGTGGAGACCTCACTCTTTAAAATAAAATCAAATTAATTGTCTTACAATTTTTTTCCACGAAATTATAACAGTTTAAAGTATTGACAACTTTTTATCTAGTGTATGAAAATTTTCGTTCTTTTTTAAGATGTCTCATAAATTTTGTGTATGAAATTTTCTGATTTAGACCAGAGTTTTTTATTTTTTATTCCAAGTGTTATTATTTCGTGCGAAATGCGCAATTACAGCGCCAACGGTGAAGTATGCAATATGACGTACTTCCTACGATTCTCGAAATAATCGATATTTTTCATGATCGACTTTTAACTGGAAAGTGGCGGTTAAAAATGGCGGAGAGTAGCACACCTCACCTCTAAAGAAGAAAGTCACACACACATTTAGAAAGGAAAATCATTCAGAAAAAAGTATCATTTAAAAGTTCTCAGATAAAAATTTAAATTAATAGTTGTTAGATTTGTGTTCGTATTCTGTATTTTTAAAATAAAACCTGCATTTTTGGCATCAGCTCAAGGTAAGATTTAACCAAATAATTATTGCATATAATTTTCAACAATTAAAGAAATAATAGCATATAAAGGTTTAAACAGAATATATCGTGCTAAAATTATTTATAATTTTATACCAAAATTTAATTTCAATTCTAACAGTACAAATACTGTAATCTTGTAATATATGACTATATATACAATATGATTATATATATAATATGATTTTACTTCTATTGTAACATTTTATATTTATTTATTGATTCTTTAACTTCATACTGTGCAATTCCTAGCAATTATAATACTAAATTAAACAACAATTTACTAAAAATGTACGAATGTAATAGTTAAAACAATAAATTTACTGCGTAATATAATAAAATTTTTCATTTCTCAAAAAAAGTAAAGCATAGAAGGTCTAGAAGCTCGAAATTCGAAGTAAAAAACAATACGAGCACAATGTTTATGTCTGTAACTATCGTGTCTGTTCGGATAGGATCACCACATCCCCTATTATTTTCTCAACTGAAGGACGAGACGTGTGGCGGAAAATCATTCGGCTGTCGGATTTCGTGACAACACACATAACGTCGCATTAGTACGTAACTTTTTCTAACCTATCGGTGACGTCTCTTCGGCATTCTTTTACTTCCATATATACCTCATTAATAGTATAATTTAATTAATACGTGTGTGTTGAATGATTAAGTAGTATTACAACAACGAAATCGTGTAGTGCTTTCAAATTTTTCGCACCAATTTTTCTTCAATCGTCGATTTTACTTATAGGATTACCAGTAGTTTGTTTCATACGCTTTTTTAATAGAATTTGAAGTTGATTATCGTTTTATTTTCACACATTTGCCTTCATTTGGTCTGACTTTTGATTTCTTTCTGTGCAGACTCTTCCTTGATTGCAAAGATGGCATAGAGAACATAGACACCACGATCATTAATGTATAATCTGATGAACTTTTATGGAAAGTCGGTAACATTTTATTCATTTTGGAAAACCTTTGGTATACAATTTATATATTTATATTTGATATATAATTCAGAATACGTATTTTCTTGATTATTTGTGATAAAAGGATGAAAATAGAAAAGATTAAATCAATTAATGTTTTATTTCGAATATAGAGATCGTAGTAACTTAATAATATTTCTTTTTAAACGGATATACATTAAATTATTAAATTCAAAGTCTTCGTATTTTATCATATTATACTTTGCTACAAATGCTATTTACTTTTTCCGAACGTCAACGCGCAATAAATATTCAAGTTTCATTATTTTCATGCATATTCATTATTTTCAGAAAATTTTTGTGACCGCGTGCAATGCGGTCGGTAAAGCCAGTGTTTGTTGCGTAATATTTTAATACTTGTTGAGCGAAATGGCTCTTATTAATTTATTTAAATTTAATTCCCGAAGTTAGAGCCAGTGAGTTCGCCGATTGTTACATAAATGCGCGTCGATATTCTTTTATTTTTCTTTCTTCATATTTTTTCTTGTTCGATACTTGTTTTCGGTATTAGAGTCAGTGCTCAAGATGATAAGGCCTTTCCAGGAGATCAAGATCGTAAGTAGTTTCATATATTGTACTTCAATTTATTCAATTTTTCAAATTTAACAACAAAGTATAATGTTTGTTGTTTTGACAGACGCTTCACATCAGCAACAATTTTTTGGGGCAAATTCTAACGATGGCTCTAAAGCCAAGAATGTAAGAATCTTTCATTATCTCCAACTTAAGACTCTGCTTTACTTTTAAACGTAAATTCTAATGTTTAATGTTTTATTACAGATTTTCTACACTCTCCACTTCTCCTAATCTTCTAAGGATCTTACGATGTTTCAAAAGCTAAAAATGTAAGTACTTCAGCTTGTAACTAAATTCTATTCTCTGCAGTTTCTATTGAAGTCGAGTGTAAAATTATAATTATAAAATAAAAATATTTCATATTATTAGTCCCAATTTTTATCATTATTAAAATTTAAATTTTGACAAATAACACTGTGTCTTTAGACATAAAATGTTTGATGATTTACAGAATATTTTTCACGGCGTTCACTTTCACCATGGGATTCTCAGTGGTATTTACTTCATGAGGATCTTCACGATAACTTTTCCTGGTCCAGTGCAGCATTGATGATAATGTTCTTCACATCTGTCGCGTGAGTCGCATGCATTTATGTTCCTCCGGTCACTCAATCATGTCGTAGGATGAAAGGTCCGAATCGGCACGGATGACTGGTTGTATATGTAGAATTTTTGATGAGCATAGTGACCACGGGTATTTTTTATACCCACGAGTAGTAACATTTTTTTCAGATTTTTTATATATTAGATCAGGATAGGGCTTCTTGCACATCGCGATTTTAACAATTAGTTTGAATATATAAAGTTATAGTAACTACTTGTAAAATCAAAATATATTCAGTATAAATGTTTGCAAATGCAAAATATCCATATGAAGAGACAAATTGTAAATGATAATTATTAAAATGAGTTGATTCAAGCATTTTGTAGCAGAGAAGACGGATACCATCCGACTTCGTTGCTATGAAAGATACAGTTATTACTTATTGATATACTGATAATATATTTTGTTATAGTAATTAATAATTAATAATTGATGTAATAATTAATACTTTCCAACTTCCTTTTCCATTTTCTAATATATAACTTTTTGTGTAAAATGATTCAATTAATTTAATTTTATAATTATGAATTTCAATGCAATTTGAAATATATAATAGATTAGAATTCCTCCTGTAGAAAAATATATGAAATTATAGTGTATGAATATATTTTATGTGCAAGAAGATAGATTCGCGACAGGTAGATTTTTGAATCAAAGTAACAAGTTTAAACACTGCTTTCGTATTTTCGAAAATGTGCTTTGATGAAGAAACAGCCTGAGATTATTTCTATTATTTAATTTAGAGTCAATTGTTTGATTTGGATTGTTTTAGTCAATTGTTAGAGTTTATATCTTTTTTAATAAATTCAATTCTTTGTTTTTATTCTTATTATTCTCTTACAATTGGAATAATTGCTGAAAGAGTAGAGTCATTACAGTTTGAAATAAAAAAATGTGATAGTTCGTTAGATACAAATTACATAAGCTAATCATTTTTTTAGTTCAGGATTTTCAGGTTTAACCCCTTCCGTGTTCATTGTCAGGATCTCACTCACGTGCCCAGGTG